GGAGGTCGGTCGAAGGGAGAAGGAGTGGGGTGTGGCGTGCAACCTACCTTCGACGCAAAGAGTGCACAGGGGTGTTGGCGAAGGAGAAAGCGACGCAAACACAAACGGGAGACCTGAGACAAGACGTTGCTTAGACAAGTGATGGAGGTATTGGAGGGACGGGTGAACCAAGACGGTGAATCCACAGGACTGTCAGGTGGGTGAGTGACCTTGCTAGACGCAGCTATCTCGAGAAACGCAGTATGCAGAGGGAAGAGACATGAGTGAAGCATCTAGGAACGAGTGGCGCGGGCCCTGACCCGGGACTCCAGAGTCTGCAGAGCGAGGGATTAGACCTATGGGGTGAGAGTGGCGGAGAGAGCTTGAGGCGCGCGACGGGTTACGTGCGATGGGTGCGATTAGGGCGGGCGCAGGGCAGCGGGCCCATGGGAATGAACGAACCTACTCGGGCGGCTTGCTGTACCCGCGGTTGTGGCGTGTGCGACCGCAGCTGCGTGTGCGCGGGTATAGCTGCACGTGTTGTTGCTACGCGCGGTTGCAGTGGCGTGCGAGCAGCTGCTGCTGTTCGTGCAGCAGTAGCGCGTGCGGCTGCTGCTGTGCGTGTTTTTGCTAGGCGCGTGTGGCTGTAGCTGCCCGAGCAACTGCAGTGCGTGTGGTTTCTATTGCGTGCTTGGCTGCTGCCACGTATGCGTGGCTTCATAAGTAGTTGTAGCTGCACGCATGCTACCTATGTGTGCGTGAGTGGTTGGAGTCGCGTGAACGCATGCTGCCAATCAATGCACGGGCACGCGAGGGGCTATGTGAGGCTTGAATCAAGGGGTCACGAAGGCCTTGCGATGTTTGAATCAAGGGGCCTACGGGGTTTGAATGAATGGCATCCGAGGTGCGAAACAAGGGGGGACTCGCGAGGGTCGTGAGAGAAGTAGATGGGTTTGTTCTTATGGGGCGGTTCGGGAGGCTGCCGACATGCACGCTAAGGACATTGAGACGGCCATAGCTAGGGAAAATGGTTGGTTAGGTTGCTAGGAACTAACCAACAATCTCAAAGTAGCACATTGCGGAATGGTTGACTAGTAAGAGATATGGCATAAAATAGAAATGTTGAGAAAATTTCTGTACCTTGACGTGACACATTTACTCTAATACCATGTCTGGAGAAACGTTGAGTTGACTTTTGGTGGGAAGGGTACAAATAGGGGAGTACCGAGAGGAGAGTTGTGCCCTATACTAGGTGCATAACTAAGGCTAAACATATCTAGTAGATACATGTAATTATAAATTGACAGTATATTGCCATGAGAAACTATGGTACATGGATAGTCTGATCCATTCATTACCTTTCTTTTGCAATATCACACGCATCTCGCTATTTAATTTTTTTTTTCTTTAATGACCTGCTAGCTTACACTACCTTCACATGCTAGGCCACTACAAGCCACTTCATGACTTCCATTATCTTACAAAGTCTTACCATATATCCAATTAGCCTAGCTTAGCACAACAGCCTTTGATTGAATGATTTTGTTATTAGGTAACTGATATGTACACCGATAGAGCAAGCATACATAATCAATAAAAGTCGTAACTGTGCATGAGGGGCGCCCACGTGGCCACCCCAGGTGCAGCATCTATCGAGGTCGGTGAGAGCCAGACATTCGAGAAGGCCTTTGTCCACGTCCACGACTTGCAATTTTTGTCCCTGATCCGAAACAGTAGCTTGTCCTCTCCTTCTTTGATGCCACGAAATTTCTCCTCTTGTTGCGTGCCCTGACATTTCCGCCATTGCGCATTCCTCGAGCGCGTGTAGATCCTTACATGCAGACGGAAGGCCGTTTCTATGTGGCGGAGAACCCGCTTCGTCCAGAACTTTTTCCCCCTGAAAGCCGCATCACAGCGCTCCACCCACAGTTGATGTCAGGCAATCGATGTGATTGTGGCCTCCGGAAAGGCCGTGCTGGACCCCGCCTTCCAGAATAGCAGATCCCCCAATGACTCAACCACCCGTGAGCCGTTCATCATGCGGAGCGTTTTTTGAAGCGCGGAGGTTACTGTCTGGATTTTGGGGCAGCTGTATAGACAGTGTTCAAGGGTTTCAACACCCCCACAGTACGGGCAGGCCAGTTTGCTGCTCAAAAAAGTTACTCTCTCCCCCACTTGCAGATTCAGGTTGTGGATGCGCAGTAGAACGTCCCTCGGTCTGCTTGGAACGACCAGGGAATCCCGGATGGCAATGGTCTTTTTCCAGTCGATCTTTCCATTCCACCTGCCCCTCCATAGTAACTGCTTCGCAGATGGTTTCTGCCCCTCTTTCCAGAGTAACTTCAACCGCTTCAGTGGCGCAATCCCCCCGTTCTCAAAGATGGGGAAGTCCGTGAGCTTGTGCCCTGCCGAGAGGTACACACGCCGAGAGCCAGCCGAGTTGAGCGCACACATCCCCTGACTAGGTGCGCTGAGCAGCAGGTCTTTCCATTTTTGTGGCGCAGCTTCGAACGCCTTCGCCAACTTAGTTGGTCCTTTTCCGCCAAGCTCCCTTTCCAGAGTAATCGCGTCCTTTAGCTCCAGAGTGCCGTTGCTGCCAAGCTTCATCAAATTTCCCAGCCGTTTTTCCCAGAGAGGTTTCGCGTCCTTCTGACCACCGACCGACGTGGTTCCCTTCAGCAGAAGTCGCTTGTTGAAGACAATCCGCTCGCTTGCCACTGCTACTTGGGTATTCACCTCAGGGATGTTCCCCAACAGTGTCCTCATGAAGTTCTCACATGCCACCTTCCAACGAGTGCTGTTCACCTCCCACTGTTTCAGCAGCTTCTCATGGGCGAAGAAGGTTTCAATACCCATGGGTAGATCAGCCGCACGCGTCATCAGATGCAGCTTCAGCTGATTAGTCTCCACTGCTATCAGGCCCACCCTTCTCGCTGTTAAGCACGCCAAAATCATCTCCGGATCTTGTACCCCCACGCCTCCCAGCTTCCACGGTGTATACAGCAGATCTTTACTCCAGAGTCTAAACCCCTTGTCCGCCGTTGCCTTATTACCCGAGACGAAATTTTGGAACGTCTTAGAAACCGTGCCCCATAGCTTCGCAGGTGGCGTATAGAATTGCGCTTGAAAAGCTGCTTTCGGCATTGAGTAGCTGTTGATCACCGCCGTCCGTGCCGTCGTTGGGAGGTATTTCTGCTACCACTTCTTGACCTTCCCCGATATGTCCTCTACAGTTTTCTCCCATATTGGCAGGCAGCTACCGGAGGGAATGATCCACACACCAAGCAACTTCTCCGCCGCATCCTTTTTCGCCCATCTGAAGCTATGAGTCTGACCGGTCGTCCTTCCAAGGTTATTACCCAACGGTAAGATAACCGATTTTTCCCAGTTTGTTGCTAGCCCGGATGTCAGCTCAAATTTCGCCAGCACCTGTTCTGCTCTTATGATTTGCTGCTTCCCTTCCAGGATCAAGGTGGTGTCGTCCACATAACTAATATACGCCAGCCGCTCATCAGCCTTGCTGATTCCCATCTTCCGCTTAAGGATCGTCTGCGCCAGAGGTTCAACCACTTAGAAAAAGAGGTATGGCGCGAGCGGGCATCCTTGCCGGACTCCAGATAACACCTCCACACCTTCCCCCATCCAGCCGTTTACTAACAGTCGTGTCTGTGTCCCTTCATGCAGAACTTCCACCCACTTCACGAAACGATCTGGGAAACCAATTGCTCTCATCGTCCGGAAGAGGTAACCCCTCGAAACTGAGTCAAATGTCTTTTTGAAGTAGACAAGAAGGAGGAATCAGTCCTCGTTGTCTCTCCGCGCCGTATCGATAATATCCGCCACAAGGCCCACCGCGTCTGTCAGGTGCCTCCCCGGTAGAAAACCGTACTGCTCCGGCGATATCACTCTGCCCAAGAACTTCATTCTATCAGCCAGAACCCGCGCCAGCACCTTGTAGGTAAAGTTGAGGAGAGTGATGGGCCTGTAATTGTTGAGCTGGTCCTTGTCGCCCTTTTTGTGAAGTAGGATGGTGACTGCTTCCTTCACCTCCGTCGAAAGGGTCGCTGACGATGCGAAGTCTCTTGCTAGTGCCATGAAAGCTTTTCCCAGCAGGTCCCAATGAGCTTCAAAAAGTTCTTTCGGCAGGCCGTCTTTCCCCGGAGATTTGTTCGCAGCCATTGCGCTAAAAGCCCGCTTCACCTCCTCTTCTGTCCAGTCAGCTGATAACTCCACTGGTTCCCAGGATGGCAGTGTTTTCCCCTTCTCAGGTCTCCATTTTTCCTCCAATTGACAGCGAACTGTCCCGAAGATGTCAGCGAAGAAAGCCGATGTCGCCCGAAGAATACCTTGAGAATCGGAGACAACACCGCTCGCCGTTTGCAGCTCAGCAATCTGAGTGTTCGCCTTTCTCGCTTGCACCATCGTCGTCAAATGCTATGATGCAACTTCCCCTCTTAGCTCCATCCGCATACCCGACATCAGGTGAATCTTGTCTTTACGTGATGCCTGATATTCCCGCAACTGCGCTTCCTTCAGCGCTAACTTCTCGCACGTTTCTTTGCAGGTCGGGTCACGCATCATCGCCTGGCGAAGCTCTGCAACCACGTCAACCAAGTGAGTCGCCGTCGCCTTAGTCCGCTTTCCCTCCTCTCTTGCAAAAGCACGAAGACTAACTGCCAAGTGCGACAGTAACAGCTCGAAGCTACTACCGTCCGTAACAACACATTTCTCTTCAGTCGCCTCCACTATCCTCCGAACACCCCTCTTGTGAACCATGGAAGCGTGAAGTCATCCAGAGACCAGGACCGAGACTTCTTATTCATATTGCTTTATTTGTATTCTGTATTAATGGCTTGTCCATGTCCAAAATACCGTTTCGTGCTTGAGTGCACCTATAAAGCATCCTCGAGCTTCGTCGAAGTTGACGTCGCTGGTTCTCGAGGGCAAGTTCAGGCTTGGGCTTGGTGGCGGGGAACTCTGGTTTGGCAATTGGTCTGACGAAACGGATTGGTTCGGCAGTAATGGCCACTGACAGGCTGAAGTGTGCAAACTTTCATCCACAAAGCCGTTTCGCCACGACGCAGCTCGGGGTGGACAGGTGCGGAAGTTTACTCCACGCCGTCGCACCAACATCGCACGGCATCGCCAACGCGTTTTGGGGTAGGGAAACCAGGCTGGTACGACGACTCAAAGGGCGAGGCGGACTCCGCGCACACGTTACTGTGCCCGCAGCCCCTCGAGGAAGCCGTGCCCGTGCAGCTTTTCGCCCCCTGTCTCCGCGTTATCCACGTCATTTTCCCCTTGCCCGATTGACCAAGCCAGAACCAAGGCAACACTTGGTACTCTCCCACTGGCCAACTGCCCATATCATAGCTGAACCCAAGTCACTCTCAGAAAGCACCTCCCGATTCCGAACACTGTTCAATCTGCTTTCAGACGCCTGCCCGAACCAAAACCCCGTTCGTTCGTCCTTTCCCATTGAATCAACGACCCTTGTTTCTGCCCGTTTCGTTCCAGTCTGCGCATTGCAATTTGCGACTACATTTCTCGTCCAAGCAGGCAATCTTTTGATCAAATAAAAGCGACTACTGTAGTGGGGAAGGGGACTCTTACAGGACTTGAGGACCCTCAAAACAAGACTCAGGACTTGGAGCCCCCAGAAGGACACAATTACCAAAGGTTGAGGCGTTGACATTGGGCTTGCGCTTCACAATAGCAGCAGTACAGAGTGCCGTGTACCCCCCAGGAACTCCTAGCACCAAACAAGGTCAGTTGGACGGATTACAGTACATGTACAAGGTCAAGAAGTGAGCTGCATCAGAGCAGCCAAGGATAAAGCGGAGTGGAGAGAGCGAGCAGAGTGAAGAAGAGCTAGCAAGCAGTTTAGCAAGCAGCTGTTTCCTGTTCCCTCGATCCCTCTCAGTTAGATGGTTTTATCGTCCAACCGCCAAGTCAACGTTTGATCAGTTTCTCTCCTCGATAGACGAGAGCTTCTTGTGACCGACCTGCCTACTACCGTCAGCTTTCTGGTGGTCAAACTTCAGGCTCTCTTACTATCCCATTTAGCGAATTGCGAGGAACCCTGTGCTTTGCATCACGGATTGCAGGAGCTCGGGTGGGAGTTATTAGGTCGTGCCTCTGCCTTTGAAGATGGTGGGCGAGACTATGGACACGGACCAAGACGATTACGAGGACGTGCACGAGAACGTTTTTGAAATTCCGAACAAGGAGCCGGAACCAGAGGCGTTGTTAAAATGGCGAGTAAGTACATCGTTGTGCCAAGTGCATGTATTATCCGGTCAGGTAACAGTCAGGCGTACGGAGTTTCACAATGCCCTGCCCCTACCACGTTCGAGTCGTGCCGTTCGTATCGACCGCCTAATACGGCGCGACAGCAGACCCTAATGTCTTCTCGGCAGTGTTTTCCGTCATTCCCTTCGCAATGTCTGTCTCGTAAACGTGTAATCCCACCTAGGTCTTGGTGTAAAACCCCTGACGTCAGCAGACACGCGTGTAGTCTTTTAGGTGTTCTCTTTTCCAGGCTATAATGAGGTGTCGCACTGTGTGTTTCGTGCTTTTAGGGTTAAGCGAGCCATGGCTGCTGCCCGGCAGCACGTGTCGTTCGATTTACAAGCGTCGCATTTGTAGAATAGGCGTTTCCTACCCGTCGTGCCCATTCGCTCCTGTCGCGCTCACTTCCGTTTCTCACTCTTCATCCCGTTATAAGCACGTCTTTGCGCGTACACTGTTTATGCATTGTTCTCAACTTCTCTCTCTGCTCTTATCCGATGCACCCTTGCGTGACCACCGCAAACGCACTCTCACGCTTGCTGCTCTCTGCCTCCAACAGCAAGCGACGCTCGTGCTCAACGCCACGAGACGGTTCCGTTACACCGCCAAGCTCAACATCGACGACAAAGTCCCCGTTAAAAGAACGCCTGCGGAGCGGTTCCGAACGAGCGGCCACGCGCTGGTGGTGAGTGTAACGGGGTCCACGTCACTGAGGGAGAGCTCCTTTGCAACGTACTTTCCGCTCCTTGTATCGGAGGTTGCCTTTAAGGGAAATAAAAAGCTTCTCTTCGTAGCAGTACCGGAGGTTACGACGACGGAGATAGAACCTGCGGTGCTGATTGGGAGGGGTGGTCACGGCCCGGAGTTTTAACTGTTAGTAGCCAGTGCTGGAAATTCGCGAGGGTTAAGAGCTCAAAGGGTTTGCGGCACTTGTTTGATTGGTTCCGTGCTGTAGCTTTTTTGGGAAAACGGGTATCGGTACTTCTAGTTGCGCGGTTAAAAATCAGCGCAAGCCGAGGCGAGCAATGCACGGTTGTTAGTTGGCGCATTCGAAGGAACTGCAGCAGGCGTTGGGCACACGTAGAGCAGATCAATCGCTGGTTGCCGATGGAGCCGGTAGCTGGTAGCCGTGTGACGTGTATCCAAGCGTGTTGTCACCTGTTAGGTGGGTGATTCCTCCGCGGGGAGCTGGTAGGTAATTCCGCTTGGAGAGCTGGTAATGATTTCTTTCGCGGAGAGCTGGTTCGCGTCGCTCAAATCCTTCTTGGAATTCGTTCCCTTTTCACGGCGTTAGATCTGACTGGGTTTCCCCCGCCCACTCCTACACCTGCTGCTGGTGTGCAGGCTTTGAACAGGTTCAAGAAGGCTGGTCAGCAGAGACAAAAGCGATACGTTATGAAGGGTGAGCTGCTTGCAGCGTGTGTTGCGTAGCTTGCAGCGTGTGGTGCGTAGCTTGCAACTTGTGGTTCGCAGCTTGCAGCCTTTGGTGCGTAGCTTGCAACTTGTGGTGCGTAGCTTGCAACTTGTGGTGCGCAGCTTGCAGCCTTTGGTGCGTAGCTTGCAGCGTGTGGCGCGTTGCTTGCAGCGTGTGGTGAGTAACTTGCAGCGTGTGGTGAGTAACTTGCAGCGTGTGGTGAGTAACTTGCAGCTATAGCCTAGGCTTAGGCCCTTTCTCGCCTGCGTTCGCGTGCCTGACGCCTTGTGTTGTATTTGCGAGTCCTCACGGCATCGTTTCTTAGAGTTACGTGTGTCTACAGTGGAGCGTCCTCACCATTGACTTCCCCACCACTGCCCCACCCCGCCCCGCCGTCCCACGCACCACACTCCGCCCTCTTCCCCCACGCCTCCTGCAACGGTCCTATACATGCCGCTGCTTCTCTTCCCTCCTTCCACGCTATTTGTGTTTTTAGGGTACTGGGTAGTGGGTCGTAAGTAATGGTAGTTGTTGTTCTGTCCTTTCCTTTGCTCCGTGCTGGCTGTTCGAGTTTGTCCATCATACTGTGAAGGCACGAAGTGCTGAGACGGCTTTGGTTCTGTGCGTTCGTGCGTGCTTGTATGTGTGTGTGTGTGTGTGTGTGTGCGTGTGTGTGTGTGTGTGTGTGTGTGTGTGTGTGTTTGTGTGTGTGTGTGTGCGTGTGTGTGTGTGTGTGTGTGTGTGTGCGCGCGCGCGTGTTTCTGTGTGTGCGTGCGTGCGTGCGTGCGTGCGTGCGTGCGTGCGTGCGTGCGTGCGTGCGTGCGTGCGTGCGTGCGTGCGTGCGTGCGTGCGTGCGTGTGTGTGTGTGTGTGTGTGTGTGTGTGTCTTTGCAGAGGATTTTGGTGACGGTTTTGGCTTCACAAAGGAGCAGCTCGTCACAATAAATGAGGATGCTAATGTCGAGGCACTGGATGAAATCGGGGGGGTAAGTCCAAAGCACATGCCTTTTTCCATCTTCTCATCCCTTGTGAAGTTCCAAGAAACGGTGCTTTGTTCGAGAGTATGAAGCATGTGTGCCTGTGTGTGTGCATGAGAGAGAAGCGTGTATGAAGCGTGTATGACCGGACATGGAGCGTGTTACACAAGACGTTCAGGCACATACGCCCACATAGACGCTCACTCACTTGTTCAGGTATCTGAAGATGGGGACTTGAACGTGTGATGGGGATTTTCAGGTGCATGTTCACACAGTCGCTCACACTTGATTTGGAAATAGGGTATCTTTGTAACAACAGATGCATACTGTTGGGAAAGAAGCAAAACAGCATGCAACTTTAAAAACTCGGTTCGTGAGGCCAAGTTTGCTGTGTCTAATGACGCGCTCATTAAAAGCAGTTTGAAAGCAGTGCCGTTCCGTCCTTGTATCCCCTCTCGTCACGTTCTCTCCTCCACCACACCACGCCCTTTTGCCCGCCAGGTGCCTGCCGTGTGCCGTGCTCTGCGCGTCGACCCAGAGATTGGGATTCCAGGGGACGAAGGGGACCTTGAGAAGAGGAAGGAGGAGTTTGGCACCAACACGTATCCCGCGAAACCCCAGAAGTCCTTCTTTGTAAGAGAGCTCCTTGTTGTTCCTGTACGAGAATTCCCACACGCTCTTCCGTGTGAGCTAGCAACACTTTTTTCTCTCCTCTGTCTCTCTTGGCTCCCTTCATGCGAATGAGTTGGGATAGGCATCGGCGGCGTGCATGCACATGCCAGGTGCATCTGCACTCTCCAAACAAACCACCTCCCCCCTCCTCCACCTTTCCCCCCTTTCCCTCCTTCCTCCCTTTCCGCCCGTTCCCCACTCCCTTTCCACAGGTGTTTGTGTGGGAAGCAGCGCAAGACACCACACTCATCATCCTCATGTTCTGTGCTTTCCTCTCACTCACTTTCGGGCTCATTGCCGAGGTACACTCGCCTACCTTTCCCATTCCCCCTCATCTGCTCTTTCTGCGACTTTCTTCGTCATTGCCACTCTCCCTCTGTGCCCTTTTGAGGCGCCTCAAAAGTCGCTCGTGTACTTTTCCACATTCCCCTCCTGTCTGCTCTCTCTCTGCACCATTTCTTCGTCCTTGCCACTCTCCCTCTGTGCCCTTTCCGCCCTGCACCTCCCCTATCATGCCTTTTATATACTTCACAAACGCCCACGCACACAGCACGTGCGTTCTCCTGTTAGAAGCCTTTGGCTGTTCCGCCGCATGATGTTAACATGATCCGATTGGTGCTTGCGAGTTGCACAAACCAGATTTTTTTCTGTGCACTCACACACACGCTGCTGCTTGCTGTCTAAATTGTGTGGCATGTGGAATGCGTTGTACAGGGCACGCAGGAAGGCTGGTACGATGGAGTTGCCATTGCTGTTGCAGTCATCATTGTCATCTTCGTCACAGGTATGCAGTTCACTCACTCCCATGGATCCCTATCTTGGCTTCTCTTCATGTGTCCCTCCCCCCTTTCTCGCCCCCTCTCTCACTCACTCTCCGATGTGCGTCTCTGCTGCTCTCTCCCACTGTCTGTGACGCCACGTCACGTCACCACCAGCCTTCAGTGATTACCGCCAGTCATTGCAATTCCGCGGCTTGGATGCTGAGAAGGCAAATATACAACTGAAGGTGAGAAGCACATATGCATTCTCATTGCACCTTTCTACCACACGTTACACGCTTGTCATTGCCTTCCCCAGAAGCACCACCTCTGCACCTCCCTCCCTCTGCACCTGCCATTCGAATCCGCATCACCCATCCATGCATGCGTATTCCGCGTCCCTCCCTCCCTCTACCCGTCCGTCCTCGTCTCTCTCCGCCCAGGTTTTAAGAGGTGGTCGCGTGCAGACAGCGTCCATCTTCACTCTGGTGGTGGGCGACATTGTGCCTCTCGCCATTGGCGACCAGGTGGGGGAGCCTGGAAGGAGAGCCCTCCTGTAGTCAAATAACTGCTTTTGAGGCGCGTCTCAGGCATTATGAAACCGGGCCGCGTTCTTCCCGTGTTTTTCTCCACACGCCCATGCGTAGCTCGTTCAATGCAGACTAGAAAACAAAGCCCTATGTTCTCTATGTACCCACCTCGCGCCTGAGATCAGCCCCACTTTCCTGCGCCACTCGGCTGCTCGCCCTATCTTATTTGTTTCTCTCGCAAGCCGCCTAACGCATTCTGGGTCGCTTTCTTGTGATTCCTGGTCTGCTTCCTGCTGCTCTGGTGTCCCACAGGTCCCAGGAGATGGGCTGTTGGTGTCGGGCCATTCTCTCACCATTGATGAAGCCTCCATGACAGGAGAAAGCGACCCTGTGAGTTCTGCACTGCACTGCTTCTTCATCCTCCCCATCTCTTACACAGATCTGTCCTCGTCGTCCACGGATCTTTGTAATGCAGCATGTTCTTTCTGGCTGGTGGATCTCTTACACACTCCTCCGCCCTTGCTGCTCTGCTCTGCTGTGCTGATCTTTGTTCTGTGGTGCCATGCCATGCCATGCTGTTGCTGCTGCTATTGCTGTTGCTGTTTTCTGTTGCTTCTGCTGCCGCTGTGTTGTGCTGATCCGTGCTGTGTGCTGCGGTGCTGTGCTGTGCTTGTGGTGCCATGCCATGCTGTTGCTGCTGCTGGTTCTGTTTCTGTTGCTGCTGCTCGTGCTGTTTCTGTTGCTTTTCCCGTTGCAATTGCCACCTTCTGCTGTTGTTGCTGTTGCTGTTGCTGTGCCGGGCAGATGCACAAGGACAGCAAGCGCCCATACCTGCTTTCCGGATGCAAGGTTCTGGATGGTTACGGCACCATGGTGGTGAGTCAGTTAGTGCTCTGTGTGTGTGTGTGTGTGTGTGTGTGTGTGTGTGTGTGTGTGTGTGTGTGTGTGTGTGTGTGTGTGTGTGTGTGTGTGTGTGTGTGTGTGTGTGTGTGTGCGAGTCATCTCTAAGGCACCTTGCTGGTGCTAGCTTCCGCGTGTCTTCCTCTCTCACTCTTGAATCACTCTTCTCTCTTCCGGATGCAAGGTTCTTGATGGTTACGGCAACATGGTGGTGAGTCACTCAGTGCTGTGTGTGTGCGCGCGAGTCATCTCTAAGGCACCTTTTGAGACGCCTCAAAACTTTTGAGGCGTCTTTTGAGGCGCCTTAAAACTCGATGGTTATGGCAACATGGTGGTGAGTCAGTCAGTGCTGTGTGTGCGCGAGTCATCTCTAAGGCACCTTGGTGGTGGTAACTTCCATCCACGTGTCTTCCCTCCCTCCTCCATCTCGAATTACTCTTCTCTCTTTCCCCCCGCTAAACACTGCCTCCTTACTGTCCTTCTCCACCTTCTCCCCTATCTCGCTCCTCTTTCTCACCCCTCTCTCCTCCTCCCTCTCTCACGCGCCTCTCACCCGCGCACACCCTTCAGATCACGGCAGTGGGAGAATGCACGGAGTGGGGGCGAGTCATGGCTACAATCAACGATGACGATGACTCCGAGACACCTCTGCAGGTGCCTCCCTCTCTATCCCCCCTCCCTCTCTCTGCCCTTGTGCACCATCCCCTTATTCCCCCTCGACCCACCATCTTCCCTTCTCCTTCACACACCATAGCTTCTCACCCGCCTGCCCCCGTCTCTCTTCCCATCACCGACTCCTACATTGCCTTCCCCTCTATCCGGCCCATACTCTGTCTCACCACCGCCGCGGTCCCTGCATACAGGATCGTCTCCAGCCTGCCCCGCCCCCCCCCCCCCTCTCTCTGCGGATGTCTCCCACTCCCTGCATACATCCTCTCCCTGCCTCTCCTCCCAATAACAGGTGCGGCTGAACGGGCTGGCGACGTCCATCGGCAAGCTGGGGCTGGTGGTGGCGGTGCTGGTGTTCCTGGTGCTCATCATCCGCTATGCTGCCACGTACGTGCCGGGCAAGTCGCCCGTGGAGGTGTTCAAGGACATTGTCGACGACTTCTCCATTGCGGTGAGTCACAAGACGCCCTTAAAGGCCTCAAAGGTAGGGTGGTGGCGGTGCTGGTGTTCCTGGTGCTCATCATCTGCTATGCTGCCACGTATGTCTCGGGCAAGTCGCCCGTGGAGGTCTTCAAGGACATTGTCGACGATTTCTCCATTGCGGTGAGTCACAAGACGCCTTGTGAGGCGCCTCAAAGGTGGTGCTGGTGTTCCTGGTGCTCATCATCCGCTATGCTGCCACGTACGTGCCGGGCAAGTCGCCTGTGGAGGTGTTCAAGGACATTGTCGACGACTTCTCCATTGCGGTGAGTCACACGCGGGTCTTTCTTTCGCTTTAGGCTGGACTGGGATCTTCTCTGCTGCATGCTCAGAATCGGGTCAGGAGGCCGATGGGCAAGTCACTCGTTTGGAGGTGTTCAAGGACATTGTCGACGACTTCTCCATTGCTGTGAGTCGTTGTGACTGTGACTGTGACTGTGACTGTGACTGTCAAGAGTCTCTTTCTTTTTGAGGCCGACTGGAATCTGCTGCTGCTTGCTGAGAATCATGTGAGGAGATGGTTTGGCAAGTGACTTGTGGAGGCTGTGCTGGTTGGCCCCTTGGGTGTTTTTCCCGGTTGGTTCTGCTGTGCTGGTTGTGTGCGTTCTGCTTTGCTGATTGTGTGCGTTTTGCTGTGCTGGTTGTGTGCGTTTTGCTTTTGTGAGGCTGTAGTGGTTGGTGGAGGCTGCACGCTTTTTCTAAGGACTGTTCTGCATGGATGTGTGCATGCCTGTGTGTGAATGATTTGGCGAACTTGATGTGGTCGTGTGTTTGCTGGCCTACTGTGCTGTGCGTGTCTTGGTGTGTGCGTGCGTGCGTGCGTGCGTGCGTGTGTGCGTGTGTGCGTGTGTGCGTGTGTGTGTGTGTGTGTGCGTGTGTGTGTGCGTGTGTGTGTGCGTGTGTGCGTGCGTGCGTGCGTGCGTGCGTGCGTGCGTGCGTGCGTGTGTGCGTGTGTGTGAGCGTGCGTGCGTGTGTGCTCTGCCGTATGTGTTTGTCCAGGTGACCATCATTGTGGTTGCTGTGCCGGAGGGCCTTCCTCTTGCAGTTACTTTAACGTGAGTCTCCCACACTCCCCACGTGAGTCTCCCACACTCCCCTCTCTCTCCCCCACTCCCACTCACTCTCCCATTCCCACTCTCTCCCCCCACTTCCACTCACTCTCACACTCCCACTCACGCACCTCCACTTCCACTCCCACTCACACACTTCCACTTTCACTCAGACTCCATATCCTTCCTTTCGCAATTCACCTCTGTTTGTCCGTTCATGCCCTCCCTTTACCCTACCCCATTGATGTATGCACTTAGAACTTCCCTGCTAGCCGCGCCCAATCATTCCTCTCCACAATCGCCTGTGCACGTGCAATTGATCCGTAAAATCTGTGGTTACCACCTTTTCTCTCTGTCACACCCTCCTTTTGCTTGTCCCCCTCGTTCAGGCTCGCGTATTCAATGCACAAGATGATGAACGATAAGGCGCTGGTAAGGCCACCAGAACTGCCCATCGCTCCTACCTACCATTCTTTCATCACAATCTATTCCACACTTGTCCCCCCAACCACCCCTCCACCCCCCCGTGCCAGCTTTCCCGTTCACACCCACTCCTATCCTGCACCAAGCTATCCAAACAGAAAATGCATGGCGCCCTAATGCTCCTCACCTGGTTCTTCAGGATATTCCTCTGTCTGTCTCGCTCTGTCTGCCCTCTCTCCTTTGACCTCCTTCCCTCTCTCGTAACTCTCTTAATTCCGTCCCTCCCGCCGCGTCTCCTATTCCCCTGCTCATTTTCCTCAGGTGCGGCACTTGGCAGCGTGTGAGACCATGGGTTCAGCCACCACCATCTGTAGTGACAAGACCGGCACTCTCACCCTCAACCAGGTGTGCCTCCACCTCTCAACACCTCAGCATTGCCGCCTCATGAGCTGGACGTTTATTCAGTGAGATCTTACAGAATCTTAGAGCTTTCCCTCTTAGGGCCGGGTGACCGGGTCACTCCACGTCCGCCCATGCACTGCGCTGCCTCCCCCCTTTCTGTGCACCTTATACCTTCCCTTCCCCTCCTCGTGCTTCTGATTCCATTCTTCCTCCCTGCGTGTGTTCCGGTGGAGTGCAGATGACAGCAACGCGCGTGTGGCACTCGGGCAGTCTGCAGGATGCAGTGGATCGAGAGACCGTGCCATCACCTGTTATCAAGGTGCGCTGCTGTACCTGTTGTATTTTGGGTTGACTCAGAATGTAACGCACGTGTGGCACTCAGGCAGTCTGCAGCACTGCAGTGGATCGAGAGACCGTTCCAACGCCCGTTATCAAGGTGCGCTGCTCTACTCCCCCACCAGGTGCTCTACCTTTTGCTGTTTTGGATAACCCCTTCCCCTCCCCACCCCCCCCTTTCTCTTCCCCCCCCTTCTCCCCCCCTCCTCCTCGCCCCTCTCCTCCTTCGTCCCTGCTTCTCTCCCTCGTCCCTTCTGCCTGTCTCTTCTGCTTCTTTCTCTCAGTTCTGAGTGTTAACGCCTTGCTGTGCAAGTCATTCCTGCGCATCTCTCCCCTCCGCACTACTCTCTCTCTCTCTCTCTCTCTCGCTCTCTCTCTCTCTCTCTCTCTCTCTCTCTCTCTCTCTCTCTCTCTCTCTCCTCTCTCTCTCTCTCTCTCTCTCTCTCTCTCCCTCCCTCCTCTCTCTCTCTCTCTCTCTCTCTCTCTCTCTCTCTCTCTCTCTCTCTCTCCCACCGTCCTGCCCGCAGTTGCTATCCGAAGCCATCGCCCTCAACAGCACTGGCAATGTCTTCAACCCTCCGGTATGCTCACCGCGGTCTTCCAGTGGCTCTATTTGTGCAAGGAAATGTTTTGTCCTGTAGGTCCCTACCGTTTGTGTTCACCCATGACATACTGTACATCACCTTGGGTTGTTGTATTGTAGTTATATCCCATTGCGTTGCATTGCAAAATCGACTCACGCGTGTCTCCTTTGTGCCTCTTCGAGAGTCCCGAGTCCAGCCTTTCCACTCCTCATAACTCACTTGCTCATGCTGCCCTTTCTCTGTGCCTGCTCTGTCCGCGCGCTGCCTGTGTGTTCACAGGAGGGAGGGCCGCCGGAGGTGTCTGGAAGCCCCACTGAGGCAGCGATCATCACATGGGCACTCTCTGTAAGACCACGTTCAGTTCACTCACATCCCATGAACGCTTTCCGTAAACCGCTTCGCATGGGGAGGCTTGTGGAAATCAGCGTTGCGTTGTGCGTCACTCCGTGAGTCTGAGAGCACTTGTGGAGTGGAATCACTTGTGCAATGGAATCACTTCTGCAGCACAGCATGCACGTTCACTCAGTTCAGTGAGGGTCCTTTTGCACGGGCGACAGCTCCTCATAGCACATGCAATGGTGAGGACTGGGGTGAGCGAACGAGCAAGGGCTTTAAGAGCGAGGGGCTTGTTCTCAACACGTCTGGCAAGGGAAGCGATGCCTCTGCTGCCACTAATACAACTTCTGCGGAAAATCTTGACTCTTTGCTCCTGTTTCGTCCCCGGGATATTCCCTGTTCCTTTGGTGAATGGTGCTTGGTGCATGGGGCATGGTGCATGGTGCATGGTGCATGGTGCGTGGTGCGTGGTGCATGGTGCATGGTGTGTGTGCATGGCAGTTGGGCATGGACTACAATGGGCTGAGGAAGGAGAACGAGATCATAGCAGTGGAGGCTTTCAACTCTGCCAAGAAACGAGCAGGGGTGGCCATCAAGGTCAGGAGCGGTGCTGTGCGGTGCTGCAGTGCTGGTGCTGTTTGAATGGTGTCTCTGCTGTGTGGCGCTGTCATACAGGGTGTTGTGTGGGGTCGCTTTGGTGCAGCTGCATGCTCTTCAGCTTTAAAACTCACTGGCCTTTTCCAGTCATTTCAACCCCTCTCCCCCCGTCCCTCCTCTCCCTCTCCCCCCTCCCCTACCCTCCTTCCCCCCCTTTTTATGCCAAAAGCTGCATGTTCTCCCCAGCCCTCTCCTCATCATGTTCTCTTTCTCTCAATGTTATTCTAACCCACGACTCATGGCTTACCTTTTGGTGGCCGCTGTGCATGTCTGTGCTCCCCTGCTCCCGTGCTCCCTCTGCTGCATCTGCACCCCGGCTCCCTGTGCTGCCTCTCCTGCCTGTGCTGCCTCTCCTGCCTGTGCTGCCTCTCCTGCCTGTGCTGCCTCTCCTGCCTCTCCTGCCTGTGCTGCCTCTCCTGCCTCTCCTGCCTGTGCTGTGCTGTGGATGCAGAGGCCGGGAGGCGACGTGGAGGTGCACTGGAAGGGAGCAGCGGAGATCATTCTGTTGGGCTGCACCTCGTGGCTCGATGCTGATGGCAACCCTCAACCTCTCACTGATGCCAAGGTAACATGCCTCTCACTCTCTCTTCTATTCGCTATCCTGCTCTCCCTCCCGCTCTCTCGCCACCCCCTCTCTCTCTCTCGCTCCCTATTGTCCACCCCCCTCACTCCCTGTCTCTCCCGCTTGCTCGAGCTTGCACCTCCCTATCTCTGTGATTCACTCTCGCACGCACACACGTCAACATACTGACCCATCCCTCTCCGTAACGCCCCCCCTTGTCCCCTCCATTACTCCCACCTCCCTCTTACGTTCTGGCAACCACCTCGTTCATTCTTTCTTCCCACCCCCCCGTCCTCACTCCCCACCCTCACCCCACCAATACTTCTCCCGTTTGTCCTGTCCTCCCAGAAAGCGGAGGCTAAAACCCTGCCATATCCACCACGACAGCAGGGTCTCTTCGCTGCAATCGTCATGGCCAAGGCGCCTCTGCCGCTGAGGCGCCTCAAACTCCCCCCTTCCCCCGTTCTTCTCCCTCCCTTGCCGTCCCTCCCTGTGTGCCTCAGAGGACGGAGGTTCTGGACGCCATATCCACCATGGCAGCGGCGTCGCTGCGCTGCATTGCATCACCATAACCACCGCGCCCCTGCCTTGGAGGCGCCTCATAACGTTTTGAGGCCACTGCCCCCCCTCTCCTCCCCTGTGCCCCCATTCGCCTCCCTTGTGCCCTGCCTGTCTCAGAGGACGGAGGTACTGGACGCCATATCCACCATGGCGGCGGCGTCGCTGCGCTGCAATCGCCATGGCCACTGCGCCCCTGCCGCTGTCGGACGTGCCTGCAGACACCGAGGGCTGGAAGTTCCCTGACGGCTGCCTCACGCTCATCGCCATCGTGGGCATCAAGGTGCGTGTGGCGTTGTGTGCTCATGGTGCACCGTGTGACCGAGCGTGTGTCGCGCTGCGCCTCACCACCGCTACTGGCAGAGTGTCGTATGTGCGGTCGCATGCGCGGTGTCTGTGTGGGAGAGAGGTCTCCCTGGGGAGCCTGCAGTCTGGACTGGAATGCGGTTCGTGTTTGGGTTAATGTTCCATGGGGTGTTGGATCTAGCCTTTCTGCTTCGCTTCTTCCTTTCTAAGACTGTGTGGTTTTCAATTGTGCACGTGCGTGTGTGTTGGTCGCGTGCCCTGCATTACAGGACCCTGCCGACCAGAGTCCCAGACGCAGTAGCCAGGTGCCAGCGTGCCGGTGTGAAGGTAGGTCCTTTCCCCCTCACACGTCTCCGCATCCTTGCTCGCCCAGCTCCTCTGTATCATGTCTTCGTTCGCTGCGTTCCTCTGACCGTCTGACGTACCTATTTCTCTCTCTTGGCAGCACCATGCAGCGTGCACCTTGCAGCGTGCACTATGCATCATGCACCATTTATCAACCAGTCCATCACTTCACCATTTATTTATAAATTTATCTATTTATTTCGCAAGTACTTTCGTGGTCTTCCCCTGCCCCTCCGTTACTTGCCCCTCCCACGCTCACGCAAGTAAAACTAATCCCGCCTTCCCCCATCCTCCCCACCCTTCGTGCTCTCTTTCCCTCCCCATTTCCGCTCCCCCCATCAACCCGGGCAACCTCCCGCCCTCACCTTCAACCCTGTGTGTGTGGGTGTGTGCATGTGTGCGCATGCGCGCGCCTGTGTGTGTGCGTGCGTGCGTGTGTGCGTGCGTGCGTGCGTGTGTCTGTGCGTGCGTGCGTGCATGTGCGTGTGTGTGTTCAGGTGCGCATGGTGACTGGTGACAACGTGCACACGGCGAGGGCTATAGCAGCAGAGTGTGGCATCACCACGCCAGACGGGGTGGTGATAGAGGGCAAGGACTTCCGAGTCATGTCCAAGGAGCAGATGCTTCAAGTCATTCCCACCATTGATGTGAGTGCGCCCTGCTGCTGTTGCTTCTCTGCTCCTTCTCCTGCTGCTGTTCACTGCAGTTGTGTCTGCTGCTTCTTCGGCCACTTTCAGTGCTGAATGGTGGGTTCAATGCGTTATAAAGGACTGCGACTGTCCTCACACTCCCCTGCCTGTTCACCAGGGAAGCACCTGTTCGAGCATTAGAGGGTTCTGAGTAACACTCACCCCTTCCCCTGGCTGCTGCTGCTGTCCCACTCCACCCTCCATTCCACCTCCGACCCTCACAGGTGATGGCTCGGTCGTCCCCCACGGACAAGCACCTGCTGGTGAAGATGCTGCGGCAGATGCCTATTGTGAAAAAACCCCTCCATCCTTCCCCTCTCCCCCACTTTTTCTCATCCACCACCCCCCCCTCCCTCCCCGCAGGTGATGGCGCGGTCGCCCCCACGGACAAGCATCTGCTGGTGAAGATGCTGCGGCAGATGGGCGAGGTGGTGGCAGTCACAGGCGACGGCACCAACGATGCGCCCGCGCTGCACGAGGCGGACATCGGGCTGTCCATGGGGCTCTCAGGCACGGAGGTGGCGAAAGAGAGCTCCGATATCGTCATTCTGGACGATAACTTCACCTCCATTGTCAAGGTGAGCCACACACGCACACACTGCTCTTGAGCCGCCTCATAAGTCGCGCTGCACGAGGCGGATATTGGGCTGTCTATGGGGCTCTCAGGCACAGAGGTGGCTAAGGAAAGCTCCGATATCGTCATTGCCTCCATTGTCAAGGTGCGATGCAATTGCTTGGTTCTGGACTGGAACGTGTGAAACTCCGAATATGGCTATTTATTGTGATCTTTTTAGTCCGCCTTTTTGTTGTGGCCTTGTACTTCAGAGATCGATGGGCTGAGCTTGCATTAGGCCTGTCGTTTTTTTCATCTTCTTCCCACCCCTGTCTCTCACGCCCCGCTGCTGCCATCAATTACCAGTCCCCACATCCTCTCTGCACCTGATCTGTGGGTCCTCTCCTGCCCTGTGCTTAACCAACCGCCCTCTCCCCGCTGCCAACCTCCACTCAATGTGCTTGTTTAATAACGCCCGCCCATGTTTCTCCCCCTCTCTCTGTGTGTGTGCGTGCCCTGCAGGTGGTGCGGTGGGGGCGGTCAGTTTTTGCCAACATTCAGAAGTTCATTCAGTTCCAGCTCACAGTCAACATAGCAGCGCTCGTCATCAACTTCATTGCTGCATGCACCGACGGCCACGTGCCTCTTAATGCTGTTCAGGTGGGTGTTTCCTCCTGGTCGAACCATTCATCCACTAAACTCCCCTCCCCCAAAAGGCATGGGACGACTTTTGAGGCGCCTCAAAATTCCCCTCAATGCCGTTCAGGTGGGTGGTTTTCTCCTGGTCGAACCATTTATCCACTAAACTCCCCCAAAAGGCGTTCTGCGCTCTACCCTGTCCCACTTTCACCCGTTCACCATTCCCCTTCTGCCACATCCGCCTCTCCTTTGTTCCCCGTCCTCCTGTTCCCTCTCTCTCCCCCTCCCCTCCCCCCCCCCTCCTCCCCACCTTTTCACCCGCCCGCTTCTCCCCCCATCCCCTGACGTCCCCCCTTGTCTGTGTTCTCTCTTCCCTTCCACCAGCTGCTGTGGGTGAATCTAATCATGGACACACTTGGAGCGCTGGCCCTCGCCACAGAGCCTGCTTTTGGGGGCGCCTCAAAAGTCCTTCCACCCACCCACCCACCCTTTCCCCGTCTCCGCCAATTTCTCCTTCCCCCCCCCAACACCCCCCGCCGCCAGCTGCTGTGGGCGAATTTGATCATGGACACGCTGGGAGTGCTGGCCCTCGCCACAGAGCCGGCTCTTTGAAATGCCCCTAAAGTTTATTCTTCCTCCTTTCCCCCCATCCCCCACCCCACTACCCGCACTCCCCACCCCCTCGCCCCCCGCCGCCCCCTTCCACCAGCTGCTGTGGGTGAATCTGATCATGGACACGCTGGGAGCTCTGGCCCTCGCCACAGAGCCGCCCACTGACGAGCTCTTGGAGCAGAAACCTGTGGGGCGCAAGTGAGTGCACGGAGGGGTGCGGGTGCAGGGGAGGTGTGAGTGTGTGGTGCCTTTTGAGGCGCCTCAAAGTGCAGGGGGGTGTGAGTGTGTGGGGTAAGAAAGAGCCTGTCAGAAAGTGTGTGTGAGTGAGTGTGTGGGTAAGAAAGTGTATAGGGTAAACATTTGAGTCAGTCAGTGCCTGGTCTGGTCAATGAGTATGTGGTCCCACCTCTTCCTGCTCTATCCCTCGTCCTGTCTTTCTCCATGTTGTACTGTCACTCTCGCTCCCACCCTCTCTCTCTCCCTCCCTCCCTCCCTCCCTCCCTCCCTCCCTCCCTCCCCTCCCTCCCTCCCTCCCTCCCTCCTCCCCCTCCCTCCCTCCCTCCCTCCCTCCCTCCCTCCCTCCCTCCCTCCCTCCCCCCTCCCTCCCTCCCTCCCTCCCTCCCTCCCTCCCTCCCTCCCTCCCTCCCTCCCTCCCTCCCTCCCTCCCTCCCTTCCCTCCCTCCCTTCCTCCTCCGTCTCATTCATGCGCCACCTCACTTCCCCCACTGTTTCTCTACTTCTACAGCTCTGCTGCTCGTCCCTCTCTTTCTCTCTCGCACCTCCAATTGTCGAGCAATTCCCTTCTATTCCTTGCTACTGGCGTTCATGTGTCCCTCTTGGTGCTCTTTTCAAACTCGCGCGTGAGCCTGGTAACCCTGTCACGTGGGTCTCGTAACACTTCCATGCGTGTGCTTGTGTGTGTGTTCTCGCCCATGCCAGGGAGCCTCTTATCACCAATGTTATGTGGCGGAACATCTTTATTCAGGTGCTCTCTTTGCATTGCACGCACGCACACGGCACGCATGCATGCACACACACACTCACACACTCACGCACGCACGGACACGGTTCGCATGCACGCACACACGCACACACGCACGCACGCACGCACGCACGCAACCTCGCACGCACGCTCACGCACCCACACATGCATGCTGCTTCACTGCGTTCATGTGTTTCTCTCTGGTCCAATGTTGCTTCGCTGCCTGCTGCTTTTGATTGCCTGAGATAACTCGTGATGGCATGTCAAGTATGGCACCATGCTGTTACACGGATGAGAGAGCACGTGGGCACAGGTACTCGAGTTGTTTGCTCAGCTTCCATTTGTGTTTTCAACAGGTACCCTATTGCTGTTTACTTCAGAGCTTTTCCACTAACCTTTTCCAAATCGCCCCCTTGCTTCCCATCCGAACCATTCCTCTTCCCCCCCCCCTCTCCTCCCCCACCCCTACAACCATCGCCCTTCCTCTCCCCCTCTTCCTCCCCCACCCCTAACCCTCTCTCCCCCCCCCCGCCCACCCTCGTTTTTTTTCCGTTGATTTGTGGTGAATGCAGTCTGCGTACCAAGTGGTAGTGCTGATGATTCTCAACTATAAGGGCAACGTCATTCTCGGCATTCAGAACGATGCAGACAAAGACATTGTCCGCAACACCATGATCTTCAACTCCTTTGTCTTCTGCCAGGTGCGTGCCATGTCACAAACTCTTGTGTGCAGATGCTGTGCTGCGTGCACAGCATGTGGAGTGCAGCTGCGCAGTCCCCATGCACATATCCCAGTAATGCAGTATGCAGTGCAGTGCACCGCCTCAAATGCTGAGGCATGGCATGCGCGCCTTTGTGCTGTGGTTTGAGCAAAGAGTGTCTACGCGCGTGCTCTGGCTCCCTTGCCCTCTGATCTGAGGTTGTTTGAGTTTTTGTTCTCTTCCGCCCCTGCTCCACTTCTTCCTTCATGCCGCATCAGTGCATTTCGTCTCGTGCTACCTCACTCACACACCCCAGCCATTGTGAAGCCACGTGTACCTCTTGCCTCTCTGCTACTTGAGGCATACCGTTTCCGTTCTCCCTCCCATCCTCCCGCTCTCCTCTGTGTCACTGTGTGCGTGTGACTGCATGTGACTGTGCGTGTGCATGTGACCATGTGCGTGTGACTGCCCATGTGACTCTGTACGTATGACTGCGCATTCGACTGTGTGTGTGTGACCGTGCGCATGTGACTGTGCATGCGACTCTACGCATATGACTGTGGGAGAGCAGCTTTTCAACGAGGTGAATGCGCGCAAGCCAGACAAGCTAAACATATTCGACGGTCTCCTGGGCAACCCGCTCTTTATCCTCGTCCTCGTCGTCAGCACGGGTTTCCAAGTGAGTCCCACGCACTTTTCCTCGCTTCTTTCTCAGACTGCTGCTGTGTTCAAACAAGCACAAGTCATGCGCACATGTGCACGCCCATGCACGGCTGCGATCGTGTGGTGGAGAGATATGTGCCAACTGCATGTTTGCATACCGCCATGTTTTGCTATTGTGTTATTGAGGCCTTTGCACAGCCCTTACCAACATCCCTTCCTGTATTTGCATCCTTTTGCTTACACTCTTATTCTATTGACCTCCTCCATTACCTCCCCTCCCTCCCTCATTACCCTCCCTTATATTTCTTCGCCCCTCCTCGGCACCCTTTCCCCCATCCCCCTTTCCCCCTTTGCGTACCTTCCCCTCTCTTCCCCCCTTCCCTCCTTTCCCCCTTCACTTCTTCCCCCCTTCCCACCTTCCCATCTTCCCCTCTACCCACCTTCTCCTTTTCCGTCTCCCCCACCATTCCCCCCGCCCCCTGTGCAGATCATAATAGTGGAGCTGCTACACAACTTTGCCAAGACCACCTCCCTCACTGTGTCCCAGTGGTTCATCTGTGTTGGCATTGGATTCATCAGGTATCCTAACCCTGCCTCTCCTCCCTCTCTCTCGCTCTCTCCCTGTCTCTCATTCCTCTCAGCATTCGTGCTGCCAATCTCCAACACATTATCTCCCCACTCCCCACTACCCCCCTGCCACTCTCTGCACCCTATGCTCCCCCCGCTCTCACCACTCCATGCTCCTCCTCACCTTTCCCCACTCCACCACCACCGCGCTCCACCGCAGTTGGCCGTTGGCGCTCATCGGCAAGTTCATCCCAGTGGCAAAGACGCCGATGCTGGACTTCATGCAGCATATCAAGCCCCCGCGCTGGATGCGCCTGCGGCGCAAGAAGTCCCGTGCCAGCACCAGCGCCAGCACCAGCCGCCAGGGCTCCATGGCTCGTTCCGGCTCTGCTGCTGGGGCTTCCGGGGCCCCTGCTGCAGCTGTGGAGGAGGATGGCGGTAGGTGGTGGGGACAGGAGGGCAGGGGAGAGTAGGTGGTGGTGGTGCTTGTGTTTGGGGATTGTTTGGGAGGGGTGTGCTGTTGGGCTTTGGTAGAGACTGTGTTTGCCTGCGCGGGGCTGGTTATTGTCGTTCACCCCCCGACCCCCTCTCCTCCCCTATATCCTCCCAGCATTTCTTGTTCCTTGTGCTTGCCGTCTGATTCTGTTTCACATCCCCCTTTTTTTACTTGACTGTGTCTATGTTTTTTTTTTTTCCTCCTGGGTCGCAGCGTATGAGGAGGCGTCAAGTACCAAGGCTCTGGTTTCGGGCAGGGGATCAGAGAATGGCGCAGGAGATGCCTTGAACTCTGTTGATCTTGAAAAGAAATAAAGTGGAGATGCCTATGAGCAGAGATGACAGTTGCTGCGGGACAGGAGCAGCAAGCCCAGGGCATGCACTCTTGAAATTTTCCCTTGAATAGCCATTTTCCCTTGTCCAAGCCATGCTCTTGGAGCAATTCATGGCCTGGGACTGGTGGTGATAGGTCTCTTGAGAGGAACATGGGAAGTCGAGTCGTGGTGGCTTACAATCAAATGCACTTGTAGGGCTCACTCACCCCGCTGAGATCCAATGCATGATGAAGGATGGACCTTGTGGCTGGTCCGCCTTGTGCCTTCTGCTTAACTCGCAAACAGCCATGCATTAGCCGCCAAGTTGTATACCGTAGATGATGCTCGGTACGGTTCTTGGGATCATAGACAGTTTTTTTTACTTTAGCTCATTAACTGCCATGTGTTATTGGGAAGTTATTGCTTAGATGTACATTCTCTGCTCCTCACATTGAGAAGTATTTATACACCCTGTACAGCACCATATATGAAAAGGATGGAACACAATTACAGTAACGTGAGGAAATGTTCATGGCCTTCAGATGGATTCTCACAGACTTGACAGATGTAGTCCCAAAGTCTGGATATTCGATAGTTACAAGGATGTTGGATTTGAGCCATCCATTTACGAGCACCTCGCTTACTCGTGACGCCTTGCAGTGATCTGTTGTCTGACAGGAACGAGTGAGATCCGCAGCTATGCTTTCTTAGTCGTAACTGTTACCTCCCTACGCCGTAAGTAGGTTACTATTTGCTATTTTCAGATTAAGGAATACCGGATTCGCTCACCTATTGATGTCAGCAGTTCCAACTACTTGAAGCGTGATAGATTGAGCTTCCGTAGTGATCGTCAGTTGCTGGAGTTCTATCGCGCAACCTTCGAGGTCCGTTTCGTCAAGCCGCTATGGTGAGTCATGACTGACGGAATCGCATACTTAGTTGTTGTGAGTTGGAGGTTGGTAGGTTGTCCATGTAGCGGTATAATTCGTTTCCATGCGCCTTTATCCAGTTCACCCTCGTCAGTCCTCTTTCCAATATGAGAATGACAGAGCACACGATGTCGTTTGCATTCGGCGATTAAAGACCTTACGCGTCTGTGGTTTGGCTATTGTAAACACCTGGCACCTTTCCAGTTGATTGATAAGGTGTTCGCTCAAACCTGCTTTTACCTCTCCCTTGCTTCCCTCCGTCATGTACCTTGCAGTCCGCCCTCTTCGACTTTCAAGCCTTTCTCTCCGTGGTGCTGCTGGTCATTTGCACTTGCACTTACGTGAAGATTCATTTTCCAAACTTGCTGCAACAAAAGACAGGGTTAGCTCTCGCAATTGTCGCATACTATTTCTTGTTTGAGCAACAAAACTTCGCACGATCATCACAACCTGCTCATCACTCACTGGTTTGTGCAACAAAGTTATGTTCTAATCCACTCTTTCCGTCACTATTTTAACTTGCAGGTTCCGCGGTTTTTTTTGGAAAGCAGCAAGAATAGGTGAGTTTACATGGCTCTGATTCACCAATGTCCTCCCCCTGTGGCACGTATTTAGATTTGCTTTCTCTCTCTCTCTCTCTCTCTCTCTCTCTCTCTCTCTCTCTCTCTCTCTCTCTCTCTCTCTCTCTCTCTCTCTGGAAATTGAATTTTCCTTCAGTACAGCAGAGAATGTCCTTGATAAATTCGGCCACCCCCCTGTTTCAACCTCTCTAATTCCACTTGTGATCGTTGGTCCTTTCTGTTTCTCAGGGGAAAGACTCAGTCCGTGGGTTGCTGTCTGTTGTATGGCCATGGGACTCTATACTCTCTTCTTCTGAAATGACGGAGGCCATCGTGTGTTGAGGTGTTAGATTTCTTACAGTTTCCATGTGATTCTACCTAGATGTTCTAGTGTGCCTATTTTATCCGCCCTTAACATCATTTTCCACTCCCCCTTGTTTACATGTATGGGGAGGTGGCGGGTCGGGGAGACGTTGGATTGGGGAAGGGTGGAGCTGAGCGAGTATGGTACCGTAACAGACAGGGCGATCTGAAGGTCGTTATCAAATGAAAAATCGTTTGTTCTAATTCCTGGACCTGGTTTGTGATCTTCATCTGACCTTCTTCCGAGCTTCATCAGATTACCGTATACTGGTACCAAATTACGCTTTTCAAAAGATGTAACGAATGGTACCATACTTTGCCTGAGACATCAGATGACACGGCGGTGACGGATGTTCCCATATATGGCATCGGCACTACTGCCGCACTAGTAACCCCCTGCCCTGCTGTATGTTATGCTCATAAGAATTTAGCTCGACAGGTAGAAACCTCTACAGATTGACAGGCTGGAAGAAAAGACAAGAATCAGTGTCAACCGACAGCCCCTCACAACATTTCAATTCTGATTACACGTTGGGATGTAGTAATAATGGTCTGGATTCTGTTTCCGTCGCATCTGATGGCCCAAGTGCCATTTTCCCCCGTAACCTCTGCTGTTGCTGCATCTCCAGTTGTTGATAATGCTCTGGTCTCCCTTGCAGAGTACCACCACCACCACCCATACCCAGCTCAGCCAAGCTACTCGAATCACTTGAATCATGCACATTGACCTCCCAATGCCCCCCCTTGTCTGCATTCTCACCCCTCCCTGCCTTGCCAGCCTTCCTGCCTTCCGTCCTGGTCACATCAGCAGCATCACCACCACCACTACCGCTTCCACCTCCACCACCAGCAGCAGCACCACGTGCACCGGCCCCACTCGAGTCATCCACCCAGTTAGCCACTGAAGCATGCTTTCGGTCCTCGGGATACGCCCAGAAGCACGCAGCAATCAGCATCACATTCACCGCATATGGAACCGCGATCGCCAGAAACAACCCCTTGGCAAGCGCCTCCGCATTAGCAGCAGCAGCGGCGGCGGCTGTTGCTGCTAAGCCAGTAACACCCGCCCCGCCGGCTCCTAGTAAACCCCCTCCAGTCCCTACCTCCCCTGTGTCTACCCCACCTGCTCCTGCTGCCCCTGCCACTGCAGCAGCCGAAGCAGATCCAGAGGCTTCAAGAGCCGAAGTAGCAGCGGCTAAGGCCACCCCCGAGCGACCGGCCATGGCGGCAGCAGCAGCGGCAGTGGAGAATCCGTACAGGTGGATGGCTGTCAGACCCACTGCTGGCCCTCCAAACGCGGCTGATAAACGTCCTAGTGCCATGTCCGCTGCATAGGCTGTGGTGCGCAGACGAGAGGGCACCACCTGGAGTGGGAGGAGGAGGGGGGAGGAGTGGGGGGCGAGGGGGGACGAGGGGGGACGAGGGGGTAGGAGGGCGGAGGATTGGGGACGAGGGGGCAGCAAGGAGGAAAGGGGATGTGTTCAAACGTGGGATGCGGTTGGACGAGAAAAGGGGTGTGGGTGTGCTCATCACCTGTGAAGCTTGAGGTGAGTCGAAGACAGGAGAACTTGCACTACAAGACGGAAAGGCTTTACAAACTGCGGATTAAGCTGACTTTCGAGCCGAATCAAAAGTAACCTTTAGCTAAAAATCTAAGTCTTCAACCCTCATCTGTGTAACACCTTCAAGAATTTTGCCTCACGATTCTGAAAACTGAATCTTACAGATGCAGCTGCCTCACCTCTGATAGCATGGGAAGGTTGCATGAGGGAAGCGGCCAGGCAGCCGCGAATCCAATCAGACAGAACAGCAGAGCATGTGGTGCTGACTTCCACAGCACCAGAAAACCCCAGGAGGGGGCGGAAGAGGAGGCAAAGGAGGAGGCAGAGTCACCAGAAGAGGCAGACAATGCAGCAGCAGCACCAGCAGAGGTGGCAGCAGAAGCGGCAGCTTCAGCAGGCAAGGGCGGGAAGACGTTTAGGAGCAGGGCAGAGAGCAGCACGACAGCGCCGGTGCTGATGTTGGCACACAGAATGCGCCCCAGGCCCTGGTGCGGGATGTGCTGCAATGCCCTGTCGCCCACCCACCCTGCTGTGAGCGAGCCCAGGAGAAATCCCAGGGAGAGGAGGGATACCTGGGAGGGAGTGGGTGCAGAGGTGTTGGGAGATGTGGGGTGGAGGGGGGTTTGGAGGGTGGGAGGGCAGAGATTTGGTGAGAGGCATGTGCTGGCGAGTGGTATTATGTGAGGGTACGTTGGGTGGAGTGGGGTACATTGGGTTGCGTGGAGGTGCATTGGGTGGAGGTGCTTTGGGTGGAGGTGCTTTGGGTGGAGGTGCTTTGGGTGGAGGTGCTTTGGGTGGAGGTGCTTTGGGTGGAGGTGCTTTGGGTGGAGGTGCTTTGGGTGGAGGTGCTTTGGGTGGAGTGGAGGTGGAAGGCACTGGAGCATACAAAGAAACTGCAGCATAACTTTACGTGACACGCACGTGCGCACCAGAAAACCCTAAACCGGAATGCACGCACACCACCCACACGCACGCACACCCAGCCACCCACCAGCTCTGCTGCTCGCGACGGGTCAAAGCCAATGAGCTCAAGCCACATGGACAGGAAGAGCAGCGCGCTCCACGGCGCCTGACTGACCACGCCCTGCAGCATGATGAGCTGGCACGTGCGGATGGACGCCACGTGGCGCAGCTTCAGCCACAAATCGCCCACCGCAGAGGAGAGAGGCTCGTCCCTCCACACCCCGGGCGTGGGATCGGCTCTGATGTGATGGAGCACGAGAGAGGAGGAGGAAGGGGGGGGGGGGAGGAGGGGGGGGAGTTTTGACTATTGAGACATCTCAAAAGGCTCGTCCCTCCACACCCCGGGCGTGGGATCGGCTCTGATGTGATTGGCCGAAATGTTTGAGAGCGATAAGGGGAGAGTATTGTGGGGGGTACTTTAGCACTAGGGAAAGGAGCACAGGGGAGTGGTGGGGAATTTTCAGGCGCGCATGGTGAGCAGCACCGAGGGAGGAAGAAAAGGCAAGAGAGGGTGTGTTGCCAGGGAGGGAAAATACGGCACAATGTTTAGGTGGTTTCTTCATGTGAGGGTTATCAACCGTTTGTTTTTATGTTCAGCCTGCGGCCCGAATTGTGGATCGCGTGGGGCAAGAGTATTAATATAGCACAATAAGTATTTTAGGTGCTGTATACATGGCGGCCCCGGACTTTGCTGACTTAGCTAAAGAACTCAAGAGTGTTGAGAGGGGTTGGGTTGGGTGAAATCAGACAAGCCAATCTTCTTGATATTGGATTTCACCTCTCCAACCATCCAGCACTTGACCTTGAGCAACAAACCCACAAACCGTTTCCTTGCTAATTTCTTCATGTGAGGACTTGCTGACGGTGTCCTTACAATGTGCATCTCTCCCTCTCCTGCCTGCAACCTTACCCGCCCACTGACTACTTTTGGAGGTTCTTAGTAACCGCATAGACAACGCCATTCATCCATGCTTCCCTGCTCTTGTGACCACCACTCTCCCCTCTCTCCCCTCTCTCCCCTCTCTCCCCTCTCTCCCCTCTCTCCCCTCTCTCCCCACTCTCCCCCCCTCTCTCAACCCAACCCCCTCTCCCCTTCCCTTGCCCTCTCCCTGTCCACCCACCTTGAAACAGCAGCGCTCCATGCTTCAAGGGTGTTCCTTCCGTCGGCGGAGGGGAGAGAGGGCGCTGCAGGTGCAGCGGCTGCAGAGGCTGATACAGCAGAGACAGGGAGAGAATCAGACGCAGAGGTACCAGCAGAGGCGGAGGCAGGGTGTGACGTGTGGGAGGGACGGGAGAACAGTCCAAGAGCAGACGAGACAAAGGAGGAGGAGGGCCGTGAGGAGGCAGAGGAGGAGGAGGAGAAGGAGAAAGGGAAGGTAGATGGGGGGGCAGCAGAAGAGGAGGATGAGGAGGAGGATGAGAAGGCGGAGAGGGAGAGCAGCAGCAGGCCGAAGGCAACGCTGAGCAGAGCCACGAGGTGAAACGCTGCTCGCCACCCCGGCAGCCCTAACAACGCCCGGCCAGCGAGAGCAGACGCGGCCACGGCTCCCAGCAGCGAGCCCATGTGGGAGGAGGCCTGGAAGACGCCGAAGGCAGAGCCTCTGTGGTGCTCTGGTGAGAGGTCCGCGAGGAGGGATTGAATGCAGGGGAGCACGAGGGCGAGACCGATGCCGCTTGCTGCTCGCGCTATGGCCACCTGGGGAAGAGGGGAGTGGGGGGAGGGGAGGGGGGATGGGGGTAGGGGGGATGGGGGGGGGAGACGGAGGAGGAGTGGGGAGGAGGAAGGAGGGCAGGGGGGGAGAGGGGAGGACAAAGGAGGGGACGAGGGGGGAGGAAGGTGAGGGTAAAGAGGGCAGGTTGAAGATGCAAGAAGGTGGAAATGACAGGGTGGAGAAGGGGTTGCAAGAAGCCTGCTGGTACTGGGGGAAATGGAAGGGGGAGGCAATGAGAAGGGGGAGGCAATGAGTGGGAGTGAGGAGGGGGCCGTGCGACATGGAGGGACGATGGTTCGGCGAGGAGGAAAGACAGGATGCGGAGCAGGTGATGTCCCCTGTTCTCGCCCTCCTCACAACTTCCATTCTCTCATTCATTCCCCCTCAACTCCCCCCTCCTCGCACCCCTTATCTCGCCACTCCGCTCAACCCCGCTCCCTCCCCCGCCCCTCCCCTTCTCTGCCCTCCTCTCCCCCCTCCTTCCCTCCCCCGCTCCCCTCTGCGCACCCCCCCTCACCTCTCCCTCCCCTCCCCCCCCGCCTTGCGCTCCCCCCTGCGCTCACCCCCCAGTAGGTGGACGCCATGCCCACAGCAGCAGTCGCCACGCCCCACGCCACCGCCCCCGCGCCAATAATCGCCACGCGATCGCCCCGCGCCGCTAAATACGCCGCAAGTGGCGCTGCCAGCGCCTGCACGAGGCATCTATAGAAAGCCAGGGTTCCCAGGGAAAAAGCCGGCGCTGAATAGTGGAGATTAAGAGACGGCGCTAGGGAGCGGTACACGGCAGGAAGAAGCGCCTCGTCGAGCTTTTCTAGGAGCGCCGCGAGATTAAGGACAAGCGCGATTGGGAAATTAGGCATTATTCCGCCTTGGCCGGTTCGAGGCATGGTGGAGGAGGGTCGGCCGTCGCTCGCGCCGCTGCCGGCGGCGGCTGCTAAGGTGGCGGCGGTCAATCTGGACGGCTGTGCCTTGTTTCCTAAGCTTTGCTGATTCCGTGAATCCATGGTGATTACCACAAAAAGGCCAAGAATTGTCAGTTAAACTAGAGAATTGTACCGGAAAATGGGTGCTGCAGGGAGAATAAAAGGTCAGTTATTCGAAGAATTTTACATATTGCTAAGGTGCAGGACTTGAGTCGTCGCAATACCCGCACAAGTTATCATGGGCCGTAACACGCGCTGATTAAATAGGAGCGAGCTGCGGTGATTAAACCATGTAATGCAGCGCATTAGCGCGGCATTACGGTGTTGTGACGGCAGTTACAAGGGACAGGGATGGCCTGGTCGCAGAGCTATGCACCCGCGACGGAGCAGGGGTCAGCACTACAGTCTGCGTAGCTGACCAGAGGAGCGTGACGGCGAGGCGAGGGGGTGGTGGCGAGCGTGATAAGTTGGGGCGGCGCGCTGTGAGCTGGGGATTGTGGTGTGGGTGGGTGATTGTCGGACATGGACTCATGGTGGGAGATAGACGTCTGGCGATGGTGGGTGGGTGGTTGTCGCATCTCCTGGTTTCACGGAATTGCAAGAGATGGGAAGAGGCTGGTCCAGGTTCTCTCAAAGAGCGCCCTGTTATTACATTAGGAAAGCTGGCTTATGCAAACATCATACGGATCACAGATGATAAAAACATCAACGATAAAACTACAAACCCTGTATATTTTTTTCCTATATCAAAATTTTGACTCAGAATGAACATCCATTTTAGGCTAAATTTGAGGGAGAGTGTCTTAGCGTTAAACCATTAATTTACAGGTATAGACATATTATACATATAGCAGTTGCTTCCATGACAACGCACATGCCACTCGAAGCCCCTAGGAAACTACGCGCAGAATCTTCTTGAATCGCGCGATTCCTCCACAAGGGGCCACCCTCGCGCCGCGCCAGTCGCCCTCTCCCCATTCGCGTCTCACCCATCAACTCAACTCAATGCTCCCTTGGCCAACACCTTTTCAGAGTCTTCCCTGACCAAGAATGCAAGAGTCCGCGAGAGGCTTTGCCGTATTGGCTCCTCTGGTGATGGTCATTTAGGCGCGCTTTGCAAGATCCAGGCCAACGGACTCCGTGTTCTCTTAGAAGAAAACATACGAGAAGACGAACCTCGACAGTGCTTTTATTGGCTCGCCCGGCGACCGTTTGAAACGCAAATTGGAATTCGGGGTGTGAGTGCCTCCAACACTACCAGTACGACCCCAATGGATATTAACTCCGATACAATAGCTTCGCAAGATCATTCCGTCGATGTGGCTGACTGTCACACAGATGCTCGCAGTCGCACGGACGAAGGCGACGGTCGCACAGCACCGTTCGAGGCGTCGCTCGTGCCGTATGCGACGGACGAGCGCCGCACTCCACACGGCCGCTGCCGTCGCGCTCCCTTTCACGGGCCTCTTGCTCGCGCGCTGGGCCTCAACGACTGGTTCTCCAGCGAGGTGCGCGCTCTCGTGCTTCGATGCTGTCGAGATGGCACGTCTTTTAACGATTCGGAGCTTCAACGTCATCCCTTTCTCCGCATGAGCATCTCTCCGTTCTTTCTCACATGCATTATCTGTTTTTCCTGGACGCGTTACCACCTACTTTCGTTGCTACAGGTATGGCGCGCGGCCGTTATCGAGCTCGTAGGCACGGCGTCGATCGTCTGCCTCTCCGTCATCGCCACCACCTCTTGCCTTAACTCCTCCTTCACCTCCCCTCCTCTCGCCATCGGCCTCGTCAACGGTCTTCTCTTAACTCTTCACATCCTCGCCACGGCTCCCGCGTCAGGCGGCCATGTCAATCCCGCCATCACCATCGCTACGTTCTTCGCCGGTCTCACATCCCTCCCCCGCGCTGCGGCTTACATAACGGCGCAGTTTGTTGGCAGCGTGCTCGGCGCGGCTTGTGCTCGGGGAGTGCTGCCTTCTGTACTCGTTACAGAATACCTCCTTACAGGCTGCACGGTCTCGCTCCCTCGGCCCTCCCTCCCTCCTCCGCCGCTTCTTCCTTCTTTTCCCTTCGCTAATATCACATCCTCTTACAGTCTTGTATCAACCACCAAGCCTCCCCCATCGGGACTATCCATGGCACAGGGATTACTTTCCGAATCAATTTTCACCTTCGCGCTTCTCTTCGTGGCTTTCGGGGTTGCTCTAGACCAAACCCAAGGCGCTCTGTTCGGTCCAATCATCGCTCCGATCCTCATTGGAACAGTTCTTGCCCTCCTGATTTTCATCTCTGGGGCTATTGCTCCGCCTGGGTACACCGGCGCTGGAATGAACCCAGCCAGGTGTTTCGGTCCGGCAGCAGCTTTGGGATCCGAGGCTGGGGTTTTGTGGAAGAGCGTATGGGTGTTTTTGGTCGGGCCATTACTGGGTGCACTGGCGCTGGGGTTACTGTACAACCTGATTCCTCCAAACCATGCATCAGTGTACAGTAAACCCCATCAAGGTATGTTTCATGTGTTCAGGGAAAAGGCGGCTGCAGGAAGCGCAATGGCATTTGGAGAAGCGGTTGAAACAGCAGCAGGGGAGGAAGGGAGCGCAGGAGACAGGGGTGGAAGAACAAGTACCAGCCACAGCGCATTGCTGCATGAGAAGGCTCCCATGCTGCAAGATGGCCTCCAAGAAACAAGCAATGTGGGAAGCGGCAGCTTGGCTGTGCAAATGGAAACGCAGGTTGTTACTGATATTTAGGGCATGGAACATACGGTCCAGACTGGATTGTATGTGGAGGATGGAGGATTAGCGTAATCTTATGTTGCAGTAAACTATGGTATGGCTGGGGTGCAGCAGAGTATCCACCATCCAACCAAACTGATTGTGGCAAGAGCAGGTGCTCAGCCTTTTTCACAACGATAGCAAAAGTAAATCTGTATTATTCAGCCTAGGCTGCCCTGCTTCACAACGTGACAAACCTACAAATAAGCATCTAGCATCTAGCAATAGCCTAGATATGCAGCTTTATACTGTACACTTCACATGGAGAGGAGGATGTCAGATCAAGCGTCAGACTCTGCCAGGCACACCCCAGTGAATGCACCCTCCATTCCAAGCTCATACAATCTCTCAACTGAGAAAATTCCTGGTCATGGCAAGGCAATTTACCTAGGCTAGTCTGCTGTTATTGCCCAGTATCCCACTCCCACCCAACCCAGCCACACCCGCTAATGCTCTGTCCGCTCAACAGCACCTGTGCGCACTCAACCAGCATTCATCCTCCCTCCCTCCTTTTGTTCCGGGCAGCTACCATCACTGCGCGGGCAGGAAGGAGCGAAGGAGAGACTCAAGTGCACCGATGGTGAAGGGCTTGGGAAGGGCCTCTGTAGCAGGAAAGAAGGAAAAAGGGGAGGAAAGAGGGGACGGGGATGGTGGGGGAGGGATAGGGTGGGGCAGAGGAAGGGAACACACGGAGCAGTGTGAACTTTTTTGTCTGGTGGATTTGAGACAAGATTGGACTAGGGTAGGGAAAGGCGGAGAAGAGACTTGAGCGCAGAGAGGAACGTGGTGAAAAGGCGAGAGAGAGGACAAAAAGGGAGGTGAACGAACAAAGTCGCTGGTGTGGGAGAGAGGCAGTGATTGCACTGGAGGGATGGACAGAAAAGATGGAAAAGTGCGGAGAAGTGAGATACGCGTGCAGGCATCAATCGGCGTTAGCTGTTTGTTGGAGCACGAGGGGCAGCCAATAAGTGCACACAGCCGGTCTGCACACTGGTGTCGTAACGACAGGCAACTAGAGAAGCCGGTCTGGGTTACTAAGGAAGAAAAAGACGGGATGGATGCATGTGTTGGAGTTGGTAGGTTGGTTGGGTGGTACGCGTATGATACGGTACCTGAAAGGCCATCTGCAATGTAAGCCGACCGCTGCTGCTCATCAAGGCCTGTGGACTGGAGGGACAATACAGCAGGGAGCATGAGAATGAGCATGGGCATGGGCACGGGCATGGGTACGGGTATAAGAAGTGGGCATATGCAGAATAGAATTCGGTGGGGGGTCATAAGGCGTTGGAAAGTCAGAATGGTAGCTTTCAACGTTGTTGAGTGGCACGAAGCTGTGACATGGCTCCTATTGCCCCCCACCCCCACCACCCACCCCGGTGTCCCCTCTCATCACGCCACCCCTGCCCACCTCCCACCACCACCCCTGTCCCCCCTGCCACCACACCCACCCACCCCTGCTGCCCGCTCACCATGCCCATGACAATGAGAGCGCGACTGGCGCCTCGGCGGCGGTGGTCTGTCTGCAGAGCCTGCAGCACTGCTGGCAGGTCCACTCCGGGCATCTGGGCACACCAGAGACACCACACGACAACAATTCCACACGGAAAAGGGTGGTAGGGCCAAAAAAAAAAAAAAAAAAAAAAAAAAAAAAACGCGCATCGAAAGTCAACTGCAAGGACAGGGAGAAAGAGCGCGAAAAGGAAAGGACAGACGCTCTAGCTTCGACGGACGGAATTCGAGCGTCTGCGGCGCCATTGGGTGGGTACGTTGGTCAGCCTTTACGGTTTCCAGCACGAGGTTAAACAGCAGGGGCGAAGAGACATGCGAAGGCACGTAAAGGCAAATAGGGCATGTAGGCACCTAGACGTTGATGAGAACAAGGTCGAAGCCTGTGACTTGGTTCCTCTCCAGGGCTCACACCACTGCAGTACTGCTAGATAGCTAGCAAGCTAGCGAACAAGCACTCCACCTCAACATAAGCATCCGAGCTAGAGGCGTGCATGCACGCAAGGGCCATGCACGCAAGGGCCATGCACGCAAGGGCCATGCACGCAAGGGCCATGCACGCACCTGGGTGTTGATGAGAACGAGGTCGAAGCCCGTGGCCTGGTTCCTCTCCAGGGCTCGCACCACTGAGCTCACCCCCTCCACTGTCAACCCCATCGCTGCACACAGCCTCTCCGCTACCTTCCGATCAGCCTGTGGGAGAGGAAGAGGGCGGAGGGACAGAGAGAGGAGGGGGAAGAAGGGGGAGGGAAAGAAGGGGGAGGGAAAGAAGGGGGGGGGAACGAGAGAGAAGGGACACAGATAGAGGACGGGGTTGTGGGGGAATACGCAGGGCCTTATTGCAGTGCGTAAATGGACGGTGCGCACAGGGGGAATCGGCAACAATAACCACCCTTCTATCTACTGTGAGCAACGTGCACCCTGCCCAGCGCTCCACCCTTGCAGTCCGCTCAATGGCTCCGAGCCGACTCAAAAGCAACTGCCCTTGAACAAACTTAGGGTCAAACATTCACTCCACTCAAAAGCAGCTGCCACTCACAGCGTTGCAGTCAGCAATGAGCACGCGGCCCTGCAGCACACCCCCTTGTGCAGCCCTGTCAATGGCCCCCTCGTTTTTGAGGCACCTCAAAAACGACCTCAACGCACCCCCTTGTGCAGCCCTGTCAACGCCCCCCGCGCCCTCCTTGAGCGCCTGCTCCGCCATCTGCTCGTCCTTACTCCTCACTGCCATGCGCCGCCCCCATACCCCCCCCAAATCAAGGTCCAACAGCGAATCTCGGGTGATACAAGGCAGGCACTCACAGCGTTGCAGTCAGCAATGAGCACGCGGCCCTGCAGCGCGCCCCCCCTCGCAGCCCGGTCAATGGCCCCCGCGCCCTCTTTGAGCGCCTGCTCCGCCGCCTGCTTGTCCTTCTCCTCACTGCCGTGCGCTGCCCCCCGCAGGTCTGAGAGTGCGTGGTCGTTGCCGGGGAGCAGGATGAGTGCGTCCTCGAGAGCCTCCAGAAGGGCCCGGGGGCGCACCTAGGGGATGAAGGGGGCATGGGAGGGTGGTTAGCGGTTAAGGGAGATGATGTGATGTGTGTGTAGGTGTGACAGAGTGCGTGGTCGTTGCCCGGCAGCAGGATGAGCGCGTCCTCGAGAGCCTCTAAGAGGGCCCGGGGGGGCACCTGAGGGGTGGAATGAGGGAGGGGAGAGAGGGCGGTTAGTAGAGTATTGAGCTGTGTAGGCGCGACAGAGAGTGGTCGTTGCCTGGCAGCAGGATGAGCGCGTCCTCGAGAGCCTCCAGGAGCGCCCGAGGGCGCACCTAGGGGTCAAAGGGGGGTGGAAGGGCGTAGGGAAGGGTAGTTGATGTGCGGTGTAGGGAAGGGACAGAGTGTTGCATTGTTTGCCGGGGAGCAGGAAAAGCGCGTCCTCTAGAGCCTCCAGGAGGGCCCGGGGCCACACTTGAGGGACGGAGAGGGCATGGGAGAGCGGATGGGGAGCAGGTGCAACACAGGGCGGTCAATACTGGGGAGGAGGACGAGCGTGCGGGGAAGGCAGGCAGAGAAAAGAGGGAGGGAGGGAGGGAGGGAGGGAGGGAGGGAGGGAGGGAGGGAGGAGGGAGGGAGGGAGGGAGGGAGGGAGGGAGGGAGGGAGGGAGGGAGGGAGGGAGGGAGGGAGAAAGGGCCTTGGAACCCCAAGAAAGAGGGATTACTCCCACGTGCTCAACTCAGTCCTTCAAAGCGTCAATCCTCACCCCTATTCCTCAACACACACACCCTTCCTTCCCTCGCCCCTCCCATCCCATCCCATCCCGTCCCGTCCCGTCCCATCCCGTCCCATCAGCACGATCCCCCATCCGGCACCCCTCAACACCACCCCACTCACCATCGGCTTAGCCAGCAGCACAGGCACCTGCCCGTGCCAATCCGCCGCCTGCTCCACCTCCTGCCGGAACCCCGGGTCCCTCGCAACCGTCCGGCTCAGCAGCAGCACCACGCCCACACGGTCCCTCGCGAGCAGCTGCAGCACCGACAGCATATCCGGATCCCCCTTAACCTGCTTCTTCTGAGAGCAGTCTACGACTACCAAGTCGTAATCTAGGGAAAGGCCGTCGCGCGGGGTGCCATCAGGGAAGGTAGTGGGGGGGGATTGACCCGGGGAGGTCATGACTGGCGGGAGGGCGTGCGCGGGGAAGAGCGAGAGGAAGGCTTCTTCTGGCGTGCTGCTGCTGGTGCTGTGGGGGACGTGCCACGCGTGGAGTTGCTTGGCTATGGCTGCTGTGGTCACCTGCAGGGACGGGACGGAGTGTGTGGGAGGGGAGCAGGAAAGGAGAGTGGGTTGTTGGATTTGGTGTTAGTAAGGATAAATACATGTCCAATTGCACGTGCATGCAGCTGCTTCGCTATGGCTGCTGCTGTGGTCAAACGCAGAAACGCGCGGAGGAGGTTGTGGGAGGGAAAAAGGTGTGGTTCTTGCAGGACACACATGATCTTACACGCACATGCACAGCACACACACTCGCACGCGGGCGTGCACGCGCGCGCGCGCACACACACACACACGCACACCTGCCCTTCCAGTGTCCCACTCAGCCCTCACCTGCAGCGCGCCCACAACGAGCACGCGGGACTGGCGCAGCGGCTGCTCTATGACCGGGGGAGCAGAGGGGCGCAGCACAACAGCGCTCTGGAACTCGGGGCGAGAGAGGTCCACGGGGAACTTGACTGCCAGCGACGGCACCCGGTGCTGCTCCGCTACCAGTGTGATCGCTCCCCCCATTGCTTCCACCAGCTGGGGAGTGACGGACACAGGAAAGTAGTGGGAAGGGAAGAGCATGGGAGGAAGGCAGGATGCTGAGGTACGGGACAGAGCAAGGGGCAGAGCGAATGACAGAGCACGGGGCAGCGCAAGGGAGAGTGGACGGGGCAGGGCAAGGTGTGTTGCGCACTGCACACAACCATCACTCACCTTCTTTGCGGCCAGCAGGCTTCCCTGGTTGGCGTCAAAGGCAGCAGAGAGAGCAGCAGAGAGAGCAGCAGAGAGAGCAGCAGAGAGAGCAGCAGAGAGAGCAGCAGAGAGAGCAGCAGAGAGAGCAGCAGAGAGAGCAGCAGAGAGAGCAGCAGAGAGAGCAGCAGAGAGAGCAGCAGAGAGAGCAGCAGAGAGAGCAGCAGAGAGAGCAGCAGAGAGAGCAGCAGAGAGAGCAGCAGAGAGAGCAGCAGAGAGAGCAGCAGAGAGTGCATCAGAGAGTGCAGCAGAGAGTGCAGCAGAGAGTGCAGCAGAGAGTGCAGCAGAGAGTGCAGCAGAGAGTGCAGCAGAGGCAGCAGGCGACTCTATCGACGTCACCAGCACCGTTGCCTTTCCATCTTTTGAGTCCAGTCAAACACCGTCTCACCTTCTTAGCAGCCAGCACGCTGCCCTGGTTGGCGTCAAAAGCGGCAGAGAGCGCAGCGGGGGCTGCAGGCGACTCGATAAATGCCACCTGCACCGTGGCCTTGCCGCCTGCTGCACCAACTCACGCACCCTCTCACCGTCTCACCTTCTTTGCGGCCAGCAGGCTGCCCTGGTTGGCTTCGAAAGCAGCGGAGAGTGCAGCAGGGGCAGCAGGCGACTCGATAGACGCCACGAGCACAGTGGCCTTGCCGCCTGCTGCACCTGCTGCTGGAGGGGACTCCTTGTAGATACGCAGACGCACAAAGCCGCGACTCGTGCACTGGATGGCCAGCGACAGCAGTGACACGAGCACCTGGTGGAAGTGCATGGGGGGAAGTGTGTGAGAGGAGTCTTGTGTTTTGAGTTGACTCGTACAAGCTTGCTGCTGGAGGGCTCTCCTTGTAGATGCGCAGACGCGAAAAGCCGCGACTCGTGCACTGGATGGCTAGCGACAGCAGTGACACGAGCACCTGGGGGAAGTGAGCAGAGGGGGGAGCGTGTGAGTGGAGGGAAGTTGCGTGAGAGGAGGCGAGTGCGGGTGAATGGAGGGGAACGATGGGGTTGTGACTAATGGAGGTTGGAGACGGTGCCACTGGAACTTGATGCTACCACGTGTGGAGAAGCTCTGCAAAGGAAAGGCACATGGTTGGGATCCAGACGAGAGGCAGCTGCATAACGGAGAGGTGGGCAGAACGAGAGGTGGGCAGAACGAGAAGTGGGCAGAGCAAGAGGCAGGAAAGTGGGAGTACGCACCTGGATGGTGCGAGAGGAGTCGGCGAGAATGAAGGGCGGCGCATCAGGCGATGCATCGAGCACCACCTCCAGCCCCTTCCTCTCCGCTGCTCCCGCCATCGCCTCCGCTGCTGCCTCTGCCATCTGTGGGTGGAGGACGAGGGAGGAGAGGAGAGGGAGGAGAGGGGAGGGAGGATGAAACAGGCAGATGGCCGTACCCTTCCTCTCCGCTGCTCCTGCCATCGCCTCCGCTGCTGCCTCTGCCATCTGTGGGAGGAGAGGGGAGGGAGGAGAGCGGGGGGAGGAGGACGAGGGAGGAGAGGGGAGGGAGGAGAGAGGAGGGAGGAGGAAGAGGGAGGAGAGGGGAGGGAGGAGGATAAGGGAGGAGGTGAGGAGGAGGAAGCAGGCAGATGGCCCTACCATCCTTGACAGTTCCGCACACGTGCTCGAGCGAGCAAGCAAGCAAGCAAGCAGCAGTCGCCAATCCTGTCAGCCGTTGGCCAGTGAGCGCAGCTAAGCTTCAGTTCAGCACACCCACACTGACCTCCCAGCCCCACGCCCACCTCCCATCCCCATGCCACACCACACCACACCCACCAGTCACATTAGGAAACTTCTGAGGCGCCTCGTAAATGAACCCACAGCCACAAGCCCCTCCCAGCTTCCCTCGCACCGCCCAGCTTCCCACGCACCTCCCAGCTTCACACGCACCTCCCAGCTTCACACGCACCTCCCAGCTTCACACGCACCTCCGCGACAGCAGTGAGCGCCAGCTTGGGAGTCCAGCCGCCCGCCTCAATGATGCTGCTGTCCAGAGCATCCGCCACTACAGACGCCAGCTGGCGCCCGCTCTCCTCGATCTGATTCACCGCTGCCCGGTGCTCGTCCGTGAGCTCAGGCGCGTCCTTGAGAGCCTTGGCGCTCTCCAGCACGCTGCTGATTGGCTCCCGAACCTCGTGGTCTAGCTTCGCAAACAGGCCTGGAACGAGGGGAGGAGGATGGGTGGGACGAGGGTAAGCGCAAGATGGAGGAGGGAGGAGGGAGAAGGGAGGAGGGAGGAGGGAGGGGGGGGGAGGGAGGAGAAAGAGGTGAAGGGACGGGGGCGATTGAGGGTGGGGAGCGGAAGGGTGGAAGACTGAGGTGGAGAGACAGGGAGGGCCGAGGATTCGAGCCAGGTGATCACTGCAGTGCCACTTCCGCTCATTGCACGCACATCCCCCATCCCCCCACGCCCACTCTCGCCCCTCCTAACTTTCTCACCAGCCTCGGCGGTGCGAAGGCGCGCGTTGGCAGTGTCAGCAGCGACGACAGCGGCGTGGGTCTGCTTGCGGTCGGTCACGTCAGCGTGCGTGCCCACAAAGTGCAGCGGCTCCCCGCTCTCCCCCTCGCCACCACCTGCCCACGGTGCAGCAGCCACCTGGGAGTGGATGGTGGGACAGGGGGAGAGGGAGAGGTGGGGAGGTAGGCGATAGGGGATGGGGGAAGGGATGGGAGAGGGGATGGGAGAGGGATTGGGAGAGGGAGTTTTTTTTAGGCGCCTCAAGAAGTGCAGCGGCTCCCCGCTCTCCCCCCGCGCCACCACCTGCCCTCGGTGCAGCAGCCACCTGGGAGTGGATGGTGGGACGGGGGGAGAGGGAGAGGTGGGGAGGTAGGCGATAGGGGATGGGGGAAGGGATGGGAGAGGGGATGGGAGAGGGATTGGGAGAGGGAGTTTTTTTTAGGCGCCTCAAGAAGTGCAGCGGCTCCCCGCTCTCCCCCCGCGCCACCACCTGCCCTCGGTGCAGCAGCCACCTGGGAGTGTGGGTGAGGAATGAGGGGGAGAGGGGGGGAGGAATGCGAGAGGGGAGGGGAGAGGGGATGGGAGGGGGAGTGTTATTAAGCGCCTCACATAGTGCAGAGGCTCCCCGCGCTCTTCCCCCACCCCTACCATCTGCCCTCGCTTGGGGCGGACGTGAGGGATGGGGAGGTAGAGGGGAGGCAGGAGGCAGGGGGAAAGGGAAGAGAGGGAGCCGAGAAGTACGGTGGCAGATGGCTGTGTGATGGTCAGGGCGGGTCAGAGGCAAAGCGGAGCAATCCCTTCTCTGCTCTTCATTTAATGGATTCTCACACACAAGCGACCCATCCTTGCCACGCGACCCATCCTTGTCTCTCCTCCTCCCACTCACCGGCACGACCCGACCCGTCCTTGCAGCGCAGGCGCTGCTCATGCACAAAGACGGGCGTGTGGCCGTTCAGCAGGCGCACCACTCTTTGCCTATCACTTCAAGCTTCACAAAGACTCTCCCAGAGCCTCGCAAAGAGCACTAAACCCTACCCCACCCACCCCACTCACCGGTACGACCCGTCCTTGCAGCGCAGGCGCTGCTCGTGCACGAAGACGGGCGTGCAGCCGTCCAGCACCATCCCACCCCACCCCAAGCGTCACAAAGAGGTCTCCCAATGTCTCACAAAGCACATCCCACCCCACCCCACCCCACCCCACCTCACCTCACCCCACTCACCGGTACGACCCGTCCTTGCAGCGCAGGCGCTGCTCGTGCACGAAGACGGGCGTGCGGCCGTCGAGGTGAGCCTTGAGGTCGATGAATGCTGACTGCACGTCGTCGGGGTGCAGCAGCGACTCCCACACCTCCACCGACGCCTCTAGCTCGTCCGGCGCGTACCTGGGGCAGGACGGGAGGGGTTTGGAGGGGGGGGAGGGAGCAATGGGGAAATCTTGAGCCACTTCAAACAAAGCAGCAGCTCCCACACCTCCACCGACGCCTCTAGCTCGTCCGGCGCATACCTGCCAGGAGGGGGAGAGGGCCGAGGCGGAGGGGGAGCGGAGAGGGGAAAAGAGAATAGAAAACTTGTACGAGCCGCTTCAAAAAAGCAGCTTGTCCGATGCGTTCCTGCCGTATGGGGAAAGAGGGATTGGAGGAGGGGAACGATTTGGTTTGGTCTTATGAACAGTTCAGTTGGCATGTTACCCAACTAGCCCGATTCCCCGTCAGCTCCTCCCTATCCCTCACCCCATCTCTCCCCTCTCTCATCCCATCACTCCCTCTCTCTCCCCACACAGCCCCTCTCTCCCCACACAGCCCCTCTCTCCCCACACAGCCCCTCTCTCCCCACACAGCCCCTCTCTTCCCCCACGGCCCACTCTCTCCCAACCACTCACCCCAGCAGCGCCTTCCACTGGTCGCTGATCTCGAGGGTGTTGTCGCGCACGTTCCAGTCCCACACGCCCAGCTCGCTGCCGTGCAGCGCATACTTCCACCGCTCCTCACTCTCCTGCACGCATCAATCATGCACGCACGCACGCACGCACGCATGCACACACGCCCACGCACGCACGCATGCACACACACGCCCACACATGCTCACGCGCATGCGCATGCCACACAGATACACACACATAAATTAAGTCACACCTGCCATTACAAGCATTGTTGGAGGCACCAGTGTTCAAAAAGCTCGAACCCGATGCCCTGTTCTGCTCACTGCCCCCTTCCCTATTTCCACTCTTTCACTACCCTCCTCCCTTCTCCTGCCACTCACGTCTACACCCACCACTCCCCTTTCTTCCTCCCTTCCGTCCCACTCTTGCCCGCCTCACCTGCAGCTTGCGGGAGGAGTCGAGCTTCTCAGACACGTCTCTGACAACGGCGACATAGAAGACCGTGTCGTACGTGCCCTTGCTGATCGACACCTCCATCGGAAACACACTCCCGTCCTGCCGCTGCCCCTGCCCTGAGTGCACGTGCCCTGCGTGGTGCTCTAGACCTGCCATTGATGGAAAGGGGAAGGGGGAGATGAGGGAGGGGGAGAGGGAAGCGGGAAGACTTGGAATGAAACACGGCCACTCCCGTCCTGCCGCTGCCCCTGCCCCGAGTGCACGTGCCCTGCATAGTGCTCCAGACCTGCCGGCGAAAGAGAGAGGGTAGGCGCGTGGGGAGGAGTGGAGGAGAGCCGATCAACAAACCACCAACAAACTCCTCTTCTGCTCTCCCACCCACCTTCTCAAAGGAAGTTAGCATGCCCGTCCCACCTTCGAGCAGCAGGTCCATGACCTGCAAGTTGGGTGGCGGGGGCACAGATGGCCCCCGTCCTTCTATTCCCTCTTTCCACCCACGGCCGTAGATGAGCCTGAACCATCAACAGTGCACCTCAAGCAGCAGGTCTGAACCGTTGACAGCCCTTACTCTATCTCTTTCTCTCGCCCTCCACCACTCGTCCACCCACCTTCTCGCAGGAAGTTAGCATGCCCGTCCACCTCGAGCAATAGGTCGTAACTGCAGGTTGGGCGGCACCGGCACAGACAGCCCTTTCCTCTCCCCAACTACACACATTGACGCGCCTGAACCATCAGTGAAACACCTCCTTTCCTCTATCCCACCCACCTTCTCGCAGGAAGTTAGCATGGCCCTCCACCTCAGGCAGCAGGTCAGTGACCTGCAGGTTGGGCAGCTCTTCCTTTACCCCACCCAACCATCACCAGTACCTCTCTAGCTCACCTTCTCGCAGGAAGTTAGCATGGCCGTCGACCTCGAGCAGCAGGTCGGTGACCTGCAGGTTAAGCAGCGGGGGCACAGACGGCCCTTCCTTCCACCCTGAACCATCAAAGAAACCCCTCTTTTCCCCTCTCTCTCTCACCTTCTCGCAGGAAGTTAGCATGTCCGTCCACCTCGAGCAGCAGGTCGGTGACCTGCAGGTTGGGCGGCGGGGGCAAACAAGGCCCTCCCCTCTCCCCACTCTTCCTCTCTCTCACCTTCTCGCAGGAAGTTAGCATGTCCGTCCACCTCGAGCAGCAGGTCGGTGACCTGCAGGTTGGGCGGCGGGGGCAAACAAGGCCCTCCCCTCTCCCCACTCTTCCTCTCTCTCACCTTCTCGCAGGAAGTTAGCATGTCCGTCCACCTCGAGCAGCAGGTCGGTGACCTGCAGGTTGGGCGGCGGGGGCAAACAAGGCCCTCCCCTCTCCCCACTCTTCCTCTCTCTCACCTTCTCGCAGGAAGTTAGCATGTCCGTCCACCTCGAGCAGCAGGTCGGTGACCTGCAGGTTGGGCGGCGGGGGCAAACAAGGCCCTCCCCTCTCCCCACTCTTCCTCTCTCTCACCTTCTCGCAGGAAGTTAGCATGTCCGTCCACCTCGAGCAGCAGGTCGGTGACCTGCAGGTTGGGCGGCGGGGGCACGTCCTCCGACTGCTCGCTGTCAGGCGCCGCAAAGCCAAACATCACCCGCGCCGAGTGGTTCATGGACGTCACGTGCCCGCTGTGGGACAAAGACATGATGCCCTCGTTCGCCACCTGGTGGGGCGGGTTGGGCAGTGCGGCAGGGGTAACAGGAGAGTCGGCAAGAGAGTGGTTTATGGACGTCACGTGCCCGCTGTGGGAGATACATTATGCCTTCATTTGCCACCTGGAGAGGGTTGAAGGTGAGGGGGGTGGAGATGGGGTGCGGTTGGGGGGACAGTCCAAGCAGAGTCAGCAACATGACGTCCTCCTCCGACTGCTCGCTGTCAGGCGCCGCAAAGCCAAACATCACGCGCGCCGAGTGGTTCATCGACGTCACGTGCCCGCTGTGCGACAGAGACATGATGCCTTCATTTGCAACATGCCGTGGAGAGGGAGCCATGGGGCAGTGGGGGTGGAGGGTTAGGCAGTGAGGCCAAACATCACGCGCGCCGAGTGGTTCATGGACGCCACGTGCCCGCTGTGCGACAGCGACATGATGCCCTCGTTCGCCACCTGGAGAGGGTTGAAGGTGGGGAGGGTGGTTGGGTGGGGGGGGGGGGGGGGGGGGGGACGGGGACGAGGGAAGAGGAAAAGGTAATGTTATTTTCCAGCAAAGATCATGAGACGATTTTTGTGGCGCTTAAAGGTCGTCTCCTTCCTCCTCCTGCGCTCGTTCACAGCTTAGATCATCTGAGCGATGGTCAGAATCAGCGGCTCCAGCTCCCCCTCTCCCTCTCCCTCGCTATCTCCCGTTACTTACCTGCACGACACTCGACAGGTGCAGCTCCGCCTCCTTGCGCCGCTTGCGTTCGTTCACAGCGTAGATCATCTGGGCGATGGTCAGAGTGAGCGGCTCTAGCTCCTTCTCTCCCGCTCTCCCTCTCCCTCTCTCCATCACCCATAACTCACCTGCACGACACTGGACAGTTGCAGCTCCGCCTCCTTGCGCCGCTTGCGCTCGTTGACAGCGTAGATCATCTGAGCGATGGTCAGAGTGAGCGGCTCCAGCTCCTTGTCTCCCTCTCTCCCTCTCTTCCTCTCCCTCTCTCCATCACCCATAACTCACCTGCACGACACTGGACAGGTGCAGCTCCGCCTCCTTCCTCCGCTTGCGCTCGTTCACGGCGTAGATCATCTGGGCGATGGTCAGAGTGAGCGGCTCCAGCTCCTTAGCCAGTTGCTCGTCGTACCCCTCCATGCGGTTCGCCAGCCCAAAGATGCCAATCAGCTCCGTGCCTGTTGTTGGCACGGGTGGCAATGGTTGCAAGTGGTTGGAGGAGGATGGGAGAGAGGGGAGGCGGGTGCAGAGAGGGTGAGGTTGTGGGAGAGAGTGGAGCGGGAGGGGGGGAGAGAGGGAGGGGAGAGGATCAGCAGGTGAATCATCTGGGCGATGGTGAGAGTGAGCGGCTCCAGCTCCTTAGCCAGCTGCTCGTCGTACCCCTCCATGCGGTTCGCCAGCCCAAAGATGCCAATCAGCTCCGTGCCTGTTGGGAGCGTTTGGGAGCGGTTGCAAGTGGTTGAGAGAGACGGGGGGCGGGTGCAGGGGCCGAGGGCGTAGTGGCGGGGAGCGGGGGAAGAGGGGAGGAACGGGGTGGGAGGGGATCAGCAGGTGAAGCTATCAACTCCTTGGCCAGCTGCTCGTTGTACTCCTCCCCTCCATGCAGCTCGCCAGCCCAAAGATGCCAATCAGCTCCGTGCCTGTTGGGACCGGGTTGCATGTGGTGAGGGAGACGGGAAGGGAAGCGGGTGCAGAGAGGGTGAGGGTGCGGGAGAGAGGGAGGGAGAGGGGGAGAGGGAGGGAGGGGGGAGAGGGGGGGAATAGGGTGGGAGGGGGGGAATCAGCAGGTGGGTAACATCTCTCGACCAGATGCTCATAGTGCCTGCTAAGTAGTACGTAGGTGGTTCCATCCTCATCCTCCTCCCGCACCCTCCTTTCACCCCACTCAACCACCCACCCACTCACCTGTGTACAGCGGAATGCCCATGAACGTCTCAATGGGCGGGTGCCCCAGCAGCAACCACAAAGTCCACTTCAATCAACCTTCTCCCCGCACCCCCCTTCCTCTTCCCCTCCCACTCCCCACGCACCAGTATAGAGCGGAATGCCCATGAACGTCTCAATGGGCGGGTGACCCGGAGGCACGCCGCGGGAGCGGGGGTCGTTGACAGCATCATTGGTGATGACGGCCTGCCCCGTGAGCACGACGGTGCCGTGCAGCGTGTTCATGTTCGTGAACACCAGCCCCGCTGATCATCCTTCAATCATCCTCCTCCTCCCCTTCGATTACCCTTTCCCCCCCCCTCTCCCTTCCCCCTACCCCTCCCACTCCTTTCCCCCTCCCTCTTCCCCTCCCCATTCCCCTCCCCCTCCACCTCTCCCCCTCCCCACGCACCGGTGTAGAGCGGAATGCCCATGAACGTCTCAATGGGCGGGTGGCCCGGAGGCACGCCGCGGGAGCGGGGGTCGTTGACAGCATCATTGGTGATGACGGCCTGCCCCGTGAGCACGACGGTGCCGTGCAGCGTGTTCATGTTCGTGAACACCAGCCCCTTTGATCATCCTTCAATCATCCTCCTCTCCCTTCCCCCTACCCCTCCCACTCCTTTCCCCCTCCCTCTTCCCCTCCCCATTCCCCTCCCCCTCCTCCTCTCCCCCTCCCAACTCACCTGTGTAGAGCGGGATTCCCATGAAGGTCTCAATGGGCGGGTGGCCCGGGGGCACGCCGCGGGAGCGGGGGTCGTTGACAGCATCATTAGTAATCACGGCCTGCCCCGTGAGCACGACGGTGCCGTGCAGCGTGTTCATGTTGGTGAACACCAGCCCCTTGTGCGCGTTCGCCGCGTACCACGCGCGCAGCTCCTTGGTCCACGCCACGTTCGTCATCGCGTGCGTCTGGTGGGGGGGAAGCGGGCGGAAGAAGAGGGGGGCGCGGGCAGGGTGGTTGGGGGAGAAGCATGGGAGGGTGCAAACGTATTCTCTGAGTACCACGCGCGCAGCTCCTTGGTCCACGCCACGTTCGTCATCGCGTGCGTCTGGTGGGGGGGAAGCGGGCGGAAGAAGAGGGGGGCGCGGGCGGGGTGGTTGGGGGAGAAGCATGGGAGGGTGCAAACGTATTCTCTGAGTACCACGCGCGCAGCTCCTTGGTCCACGCCACGTTCGTCATCGCGTGCGTCGGGTGGGGGGAACGAGACCAAGGAAGGGGGAGGGGCGGGGAGGGAAGGAGGGGCGGAGAAGGGGGAAGAGAAGGGCGAGGAGGGAGGGAGAACGCGAGGGGGAAGACATGCTCAACCATTATCCGCACGCCCCATGCACAACGCAACGGAGTAACGGCACGTGCTTGCTGTGAATAGAACTGTGAGGCTGCAGCAAACAGGGAGCCACTGGGCAATTGTTCTTCAGAAAGCGCACACGCGCACGGCACGTGCTTGCTGCCAATTCCCTGTCATGGCACGTGCTTGCTGCCATTTCCCTGTCATGGCACGTAATTGTTGTCTGCTCTTACTCCTTCCATTTTTTTCAACGCTCCCTGTTCACCATCAACCGTAGCACTGCGCAGCACCGCACTGCACTGCATTGCACCACCACACAACACGGCACGGCACGGCATGGCACGGCATGACAGGGCTCTGTACCTTGAGGTAGGGTGTGCCGTCGGCCTTGAGCAGCGCGGAAGAGATGAACCCAAAGCCCGACGACGTCACGTCTAGCAGCGCCGACAGCAGGAAGTCAAACACCAGCGTGCCGTTCGGCTCCTGCGAAAAGAAAAGAAAGAAAGGAAAAAAAGAAACGAAAGGCAAAACAAAAGGAGTAAGAATGCGGGTGGGGGCATGGAGGCGGGTAGGGAGGGGGAGGGTGCCGGGGGGTTGTGGGAAGAGGGGGAGGGGGTGGGTGGGGGGGAGCGGTACAGGGGTAGGTGGAAGGGAGGGAGAGCATGGGGGGGGGGACGAGCGCAAGAGCCATACAGGTAGAACCATGAAACACCGAACCTAGGCCGTCACCATACGTACGGCTGCTCAGCCTGCTGTGCTGTGACTACTTTCGAGGCGACACAAAACTAGACCTAAGCCCTGTCCGTCTCCTTCTCCCACATTCAATCTCCACTCTTCCCCCACCCGCGCCACTCTTCCCCCACCCGCGCCACTCTTCCCCCACCCGCGCCACTCTTCCCCCACCCGCGCCACTCTTCCCCCACCCGCGCCACTCTTTCCCCACCCGCGCCACTCTTCCCCCATCCGCGCCACCCTTCCCCCATCCGCGCCACCCTTCCCCCAATCACGCCAACTACGTCTGTTCCACCCTTTTCCCACTGTCCCACCCCCGCGTAATCTTCCCCTTTCCCACGCAATTTTCTCTTGCACATTTGGCAAAAAAAATCCTTACAATTCGTATACGATTCCAGGGGAAGGTTACAATTCCTTACTATCTCCTCTTTCACGAAGCACATTCGGCGCGCCTCACCTTGTCAATAAAGTACACTTGGTGCGCGCGCGCAATCGCGGACAGCAGCTTCCGCTGCAGCGCCTCTCCGGAAGCCGCTCCGCCGCCTTTCTGCGCACCGCCGGCGGGCGGAACCCCCCGGCGCCGCGCGTGCTCCCCGCATCCTCTCGGAAGCTCGAATTCAGGCTGTCGATTTCGCTAGCCCTGTCGCTCCCCGCAATCATCTTCCCCTGCATGTGCGGGCACGCCTCAATCCCCAACACATTCGCCGAGGTCGTCCCCACCCCTCCACCCGCGCCCGCTCCCCCCGCGTCGGATCCTCCGAACGGTGACCCGGCGTGGAAGCGCGGCGAGGCGTCGCGCGACGCGTCGGAGCCCGCAGCGCCCCTCCGCGCGCGCTGCGGGGAGCCCGTGCGCGAGGTGGCCGGCGAGGAGGTGTCGGAGAGATAGCCGACCTGATTATCGGGGGACGCGGACGCGTACTCGATAGCATGCATCCCGCTAGTGGTGGTAGACGGGGTCGTGCGGCCGCTGACAGCGGGAGAGCCGGCGCCGGATCCAACGGCGCCGCCCGGGCGCGCGCCGCCGGCTGTGCCGGGCTTGGGGAGGTGGATGCCGCAGCGCTGCAGCAGCTGCGCCGCCTTGGGATGCTCGTTGGCGTCGTCGCGGACGTGACCGCACTTGCGGCAACTACAGGGGCGAGCGGCACGAAAGGAAATGTGATCATTAATAAAAATCACTATTGATATTTACACTTGTATTCAATACTTTGTAAATGGTCATAAAAATATTATATATTAAACTAATAAGGATAACATATATATATATTTATGAATATATATGTTCTCCTTGGAATGGTTGCACTCGACAGCCGCTTCACAGCTGACTGCGAAAATGACTAAACGATGCCTGCGGTGAATAAGCCAAGAAAGCGAGAAAACAAAAATGACCGAGTCCGACCGAGAGCTGCTAACAGCGTCTATTCGATATAGCATCGACTGAGAGGCAGCAATAATGAGCGAAAGACAGCGGCTTTGCGGATAATATTGGAGTAAAACTTGCCAGAGAGACGAAGTGACTGGCATTGGTCAACGAGCGAGCGAACGTACCGCCATCCAGCCTCGATCCACGCGCGAAGCGCCACCCAATCAGCCTCCGTCAAGCTAGCGACCACCTCCCATGGCGGTATGTCGAGCGTCGTCCCCGCGCCGCGCGAGCTCTTCCTCCGCGCATCTGGACCTGCGCCGCCAGCGGCGGGTCTGGCGGGACCCGCGGAGACCGCCGCGCCACCCTGTGCGCCGGCCTGCGCGCGCGCGAGCTCTTGAATCTTGGTGGACTGCGCGACGGCCTTGGCGAGGTCGACGCCTGCTTCGTTAAGCTCATCCGCGGTAACAGCACCTGCGGTAGCAGAACGGCGACGCAGCTTGACGCCCTTGGCGGCGGATTGTTGAGCTCCCATTGCGTAAACGAAGGGAGACGAAAATTATGCGGGTGATGGTACGAAATAAACAGGTGATGCGAAGTGGTAGCTTTCAAAACCGATTAATGAGACGACGACAGTTATGTGACCACTGCGCTTAGTCTCAACTTGGTTCCTTCGGCTAAGACCAATCAGCGTCGCAGTTGCTCGACGAGGCGAACAAGATAAGAGCGACGAAGGAAAACGTTAGCTTCCACAGGCCTCGCGGAGTTGACGGAGAATGCACAATGTCAATGTGGTGCAGGAGGGAAAAGCAAACTACACCGACACAGCCCAGTCTCACCAAATGATTTTAGGGAGCCTAAGGGACAAGGCGAATGTGGGTGCTTCACGAGGGGAAGTGAGGTGGGGAGAGGGAGGGGGGAGGGAAGAGGGAGGGGGGAGACAGGCCATGGCAGGGCAGACGGCTGCTGCTGCTGCTGCTGCTGCCGTGCTGAGCCTGTGACTGGCCCGACCGCGGGGGAAAATGCTGTAGGCATCACTGTAGTCTTGATTGCTCCTGATTGGTAGGTTCGGTCGGTACAAAGTGGTGCTCCGGTTTGCTCAACTCTAGAAGGCCGCGTTCTTGCAAGTTGCAACTTTATCGGGCTTGATTTTTTGGGCAGGTGGCGGGGCGCCACCAACAAGGATGATATAAAAGCTCTAGTGGCCTACGAACAACTTATGCGAATCTAGTCAGAAGGTATGGGAGGTAGTTTCGACTTTCTAACCAGGCCTGGATATTTCCGCGACCCATTGACAAATTTGAGTCATGGTTGGCAGTATTTGGGGTGAAGGGCGCGTTTCCCGAAATGCCACCAGTTTGAGCTGGACCTTGTGGTTCCGCAACCGCGTTTGGAGTGTTTCATGTGCATATCATGTGCCGCAACATGGAGGTGGAATCGTATGCGCATTTCCAGCAATTCTGTCAAATCGGGTCAGTTCCGGTTTCCCAGAGGTGAACGAGCCCTATGCATCCTCACGATAATATCCAGGCCCGGGAGCGGGAACACCGACAACCCATGCCTAACCTCCTCACGCAGTATTCGCCTAAGCTAGTGGAGAGCTTTGGCAGAACGGGCGAGGTCATCGCTCAGTTGGTGGATGACGTGGTGCCTTATCATCACCTGTGCACTGTCCGCGGTTGATGCTTCGTGACTACTACGAATTGTGCAGATAAAGTGACGAAGGTATGGGTCAAAGACCTGACATAAATTAAGTTTGACACAAGCCTTAAAAACCTTACAGTACTGATTTGTGGCCTTTTATATTTCCTGCTCCCTCTGTTTTCGTGCTCTTTCATTCAAACAACAGAAGGCGATTTTTTTCCCTAATACTGTAAAGCAGTAATTGTACGCGAACAACCTGAATGGATTCAGAGGGCGCTGAGGCAGGCAGAGAACAGACAACCACCCCAGTTATCAGCCCACTAACTGTCCCCTGACGGTACCACTAGAACCGCCAGAGGCAGTGGTAGCTCCACTGTATGTTACATTCACATAGAAGTTCCCAGGAGTGTCATACAGGCCCGCGTTTATCAGATCGGCTGCTCTGAGCTTGGGAGTCCATGATTTATCCAGGGTCGTACGGGCTTCGCCAAAGCAGACATATCCAGTCCCCACAGTGTGCATCCTGCAGGGGAAGGAGGTCACTAAAGGTCCCGTGGCGCCCTCCTTCCCCTTGAAAATCCCGACGTCAGAGAAGTTGGCTTTGGGTTTGTGGGGCAGGGCAAAAACACGAAGAGTGTATCCCACCAGCTGAGTGAATTCAGTCCTGGAATGAGCAAGAGGGAATATGGAGGCATTGCAGGGTAGGGGGAGAAGGGGGCGAGAGATCAGGGAGAAGCAGTGGTCAGGGGAGAAAAAAAAAATCAATCATCATGTTTCTTGAGGCGTTCCAATAACCAACGGTAATCGGCAGGCACAGACAGTTCGCATGGCAAATTGAGCTCATGGTAATGTGCGAGTGCGTGCAGCAGATAAGGACAAGCAGCACAAGGTGTGAGGCTCACATCTTGACAGAAACCTGAAAGGAGCCAGTGTAGGGTGAAGGCGAAACACCCTTTGTCTTGGACGAAACATAGTCTACACAGAGTAAAGAATATTCAGGTGAGGGTCAGTGCGTGCGTGGGTGTCTGTATGGGGGTTCGTGTGTGTTTGCGTGCGTGCGTGTGTGAGGGGGGTGGCCGCGCCGCCACGTGCTCGTGTTGAGTGAGGACAACGAAGCGGGGTGGGGTGGAGAGTGAGGAATTTCAAATGGTAACATCGAATGGGAGAAGCGGGGTGGGCGGTCGATTGTAAGGAGCTTTTGCAACGAAGAACCACCATAGCAGCCGGACATGGCGCAACGCCTGAGCGTTGATCTTTGCTCGACGAGGGGCTATAACGAGTCACGGGGTTGTTTGTAGCGAGTAATGGTGGACTCACAGTATCTGGAGCTGATGGTAACGCTCTCGACCGCCTGGGTAGGATTAATCATGCATCCAAACGACAGCACCACCGCTGACAGGGGCAGGCATCGTGTGAAGAGGAGCAGGGAGGAACCAGAGACATGAAGAAGGATTTCAACGAAGACGTGTATTGAAAAGACGCAGAGGAGGACGGATTGCAACGCAGTTTTAGTGCATTCTCACTGCACACTGAAACGAGGGAGGCCGCGACCAGCGAAGCTCATACGAGCGAACGAATCAGGTGAGAAACGCCGCCTCTGCGACGCTTACCTGCGACGAAGATTGTACGGAGCAGCGAAGAAGACGCTCCAGGTGAGAAGCAGCCGAAGACTTGTGCGGTAGTAACCGCCATTGGCGGTGAGGTGTACGTCTCACGGTAGGACTCGGCGACGACACCACTGAGAATAGCCGTTTGTCAGGGGCCGTACTGACGGATTGAGAAGCCGCCGTGCGTCTATCGCGGACTGTTCAGACTGTCGCGGAGAGCAAGATTACGGAACGTCGTGAAGGCGGGGAAAGTGGGTGAGGCAGTTCCAAATTCTTTCAACACCTATCACGCATTATATATCAGCGAGCTGATTCGGCATACTCGACAGAGAACTGCCGTATGTATGGTGACTTCCTGTTTTTGACAAGAGACCGCTTCTACATAGTGTGGGCGGGGCAAGGAATGCTGTTCACGGTAGGAAGGTTGGTTGGGGCAAAAGACGGAATCGTTTGGCGAGGCGTACCAAAGTGGTGTTGAAATTTGTGGAAATGAATTGTGGAACCCGAAGATACTGTATCTGGAGTTACCAGATCTGGAGTGCAACTCGTGCAGTCCTTCGCAAACAATCTTGGCTTCACAGAAACTTTGTGAGCGAGATCGTCCGTACCATCGTCGTCTCTAGTACAGTAATTTTGTGTGTGGCGAAAAAATATCCGACGAGTTGCGAAGTGTGTCGTTCTGAACTCGGTCATGCCCAACCGGTAGAGGATGCGAGGCTGTTTTGCGGAGACGTAGGGATGACCGCCAGAAGCAGCCACCACTGCACAGATGTTATCTACCAGCTGGAGCACACCTTACCGAAAGTACACCCTTTATCGCTATAATGTGTACCGAACTGGCTGGCTAACCTTGTCTTATTCGAATTGCCAAAATGAACATAGCAAGGGTAAATATGATCATAGTTTGACAAATGTTTCAAATATTTAAGGGTTATGGAAGGGGGGAAGGGGGGAAGGAAGAGGGAAAGGGGGGGAGTGGGAGGGAGAAAGGAGGGTGAGGGGGGAAGGGGGAGGAAGGACAGGGGGAGAAGGGGGGGGGGGGAGTGAGGGATTGGAAGCAAAAACATATGGTAAAAAAAACATGGTTGATTTAAAGAGAAGGGTACATGAAATAGAGGGCTAAGGCGGGCAGAGTAGTGCACCACCAACAATTGGTTGACATAATCTACACTGAATTATCCAGCAAGCAATTTACCGTGTATATTACAATATAGGTGTAACTATTACAAACCATTTGAAGCATGCCGGCAGTACATACATACGCCACGTCGCTACCCCGATTATCACCCTATTAACTGTCCCCTAATGGTACCATTAGGTCCGCCAGAGGCAGTGGTAGCTCCGCTGTATGTCACATTAACATAGAAGTTCACAGGGATGTCATACACGCCAGCTTTGAGCAGATCGGCTGCTTTGAGCTTGGGAGTCCATGACTTATCCAGGGTCGTGCGGGCTTCGCCAAAGCAGACCCACCCAGTCCCGGCGGGAATCATTTTGCAGGGGAGGGATGTCACCAAAGGTCCCTTGGCGCCTTCCTTCCCCTTGAAAACCCCGACATCCGAAAAGGTAGGTAGCGGATTGCGGGGCAGAGCAAACACCCGAAGAGTGTATCCCACGAGCTGAGTGAATTCAGTCCTGGAATGAGCAAGAGGGAATATGAAGGCATTGAAAGGCCGCAAGAGAGAGAACATTAGTGTTCATCCTTCGAAAGGCAATTCAAGTCCCAACAGTAACAGGCAAGCACAAACGACCAAATCATGACTTGATTCGTAAGAATGGATGTGCGAGTGCATGGATGACTTACAACTTGACAGAAACCTGAAAGGAGCCAGTGTAGGGTGAAGGGGAAACACCCTTTGTCTTGGACGAAACAGAGTCTGCACAAGGTACACAATATTCGGGTGGGCGTCAGCGGTAGTATAATGGTGAGCGTCTGTGCATGTGTACGTGCGAATGCGAGAAGAGGAGTGGTAGATGGTGCGGGCTGCAAAGGGATAATCAAATAGCGGAGAACCACCTGAAAAATCCAGGCGTGGAATCAAACCATGGGGAGAAATGGCTTGTGTGTTGGGTTGTGCGCAGGGAGATGTTTTGCTGTTCTGTGGCGAGTCGGGGGAAGCGTGTAGCGAGTGACGGCGAACTCACAGTATCGGGTGTCGTTGGTGATGCTCTGGAGAGCCTGGGTAGGGCTGATCATGCATCCAACGGTCAGCACCACAGCTGAAAGGGATAGACATTGTGTATAAAGGCGCAGGGAGGGGAGAGAGAAGTAAGAAACGGACGTTAATGAGGACGCGGATCGAAGAGAGCAGGACGGACTGCATTGCAGCGGCGACCTCACCCGCGACGAAGATAGAACGGAGCAGCGAAGGAGAGGCTCCGGGTGAGAAACAGCCGACGGTCTTCATTATAGCGGCCATTGGCTGTGAGGTGTAAGCCTCAGTAGGAGGACGACACGAGTATGGTGGCTTGTCAAGAGGATCGCACGGAATGAGAAATTGTGCGCTTCTCAGTTTTTACATATGTTCAGACTGTCGCGGGGTGCAAGATTCCAGAACCTTGTGAAAGAGAAGCAGCTGCTGCGAATGCTGCACCTCTCATTGTGGTACTGTACAGTATGCGCCTTGTATTTTGAGCGCCTATCACGCGCCATAACGTACGTATCAGCGAACCGATCCGGGGGAGCCGGCAGTACAGAACGTACGTACTGTTCAGGGAGACTTTCCGAATTTGCCGGAATTTTAGGGTTCGAATGGTTTCTAAATGTTGTGTGGCTCCGAGCAAAAGATGCCGTGCAACTCACTGCCGCTATTATGACTCGGCCATAATATCAAAGAGCCCAAGCGACGATTGAGCGCTTCTGTCTGTGCCCTGCCCAACACAGTCCTCTATCTCTACGGCATTTAGTCCTCGTCATGGTTCGAGCTTATGAAAGTTTTCCGCAAGTACCTTTTAAAGGAGAGCAAAAACTGGTCGGGTATAAGTTGGAACAACCTCGAATATAAAGGAGAGTAGCTCGGACCGTGAAATGTTGGGCACTTACAACCAGGGCCCAAAATTGGTTTAGGCCTACTCTTCCAAATCAGGGTACAAGGCCCTCCTTGAACAGACCCCTAGGGTAAAATTTTTCGTACCCTGCTTTCAGCAGGGTAAATCAACCACTAAACTGATTTGAGCAGGGTAGTGTTAGGCTTAGCCTGTTTTGATTACCGGCGACTTCACTATCGCGTTCCAGACGGAAAAGGAATACGGTATGCGTCGCGGGCCACGACGCGCGGTGCAATGGGAAGCAGCGCGGCGCGCTGCGGGAGATTCCTGCAGCGGGGGACGTTAAATGAATTCATGTCGGGAATTGCGCGTCGAAAAGTATGCTCTTTGTGGAAATCGTGTGTCGAAGAGGTGGGAGTGCTTCAATTTGTTTTTCGCTAACTCGCACTGTAACTACTTCCCCGTTACCACAGGTTCCGTCCTCGTCCCGCAGTGCTTGAGGTCTCAATCAAGTGGCAACGATGCACGAAAAGTGCCTGGTTTCTCGTTCCGTCAGCACACTCCGTAGGGTATCTCTCACGCTATCTTCTCCTCTCCTCTCGCCCCGTGTGCGCCCCCACAGTGCGGTGTTTGTGGGGGTGTGGTAAATTTTGACACCACGCGGACTGTGATCTGATTCGCATTAGGAATGTTTCGGTACAAGGGTAGTGTACACTATACCTTGATTCCGTCAGGCTAACCTAAAAACCAATCAGGGTGAAATAAAACATGCTCTTTTAAGAGAAGGGTAACTATCTCGCATTCCTGATTTTGGCAGGGTAATCCTGAAAAAACGGCCGACCCCCAGGGTAATCAGGGCGTTTTACCCTGATATTTTGGGCCCTGCTTACAACCTGCCTGTATTGCACGCAAGCACATTAGTTATTCCTAACAAACGGGCATTCTGGTTGCTAATTGACAATCAATACTTCCTATAAGAAGCACTCTATGAAAAAAAAAAAGGACAATGAAGAAAACGGGAGTAGTGCTTGTCGTTCAGCAGCTGGCGAGAACGGGAAGAACCTGGTCAGGATCCAGGAAGTACGATGTACAGCACATTCACATCGGTGAGGTCAGTGAAAAACTGGTGGTTCACATTGGTCTGCTCGGGTTGAAAACTGAAGACAGATTCATCTGCCTTGCCATATCACTGCCCTTACACAAATCGACAAAAACTCGTACGTGTGTAGTACAGCTTATGCTCAATAGCATACGAAATAGTTCTACTAGCTTTGAGGTTTGTAAGCTTCTGTACATCCCGCACAGTTTTGTCAACATTGCAGCTAGGAAAAATGGGCTTGTAAAAAACACAAAAGATACACTTTGTTTTTCTTTGCAGAACAAGAGGTTAGCAGACTTTGTTATATGTCGTTCCTCTTTGTAACCAATGGTTCATGATCACCCCATTAATTGTCTTGTTCACACATTGCCAGTTAGACGAATCGCATTCCTAGTGCAACTTTTACGGATCTGTAAACCGCGTGCAACTGGCCGGCACCAATTGTTCATGGGCACTAAATCGGGAATGGGCGGGGCGAAACTCGAGGGCAGCAATTGAGCACATTTAATTCGGTAGCGCTTGGTAGTGCTACCGGGCGCTAGAAGACGCTACCGGGAGCATTAGACAAAACTACCGATAACTGTTACTTCGGGGCAGAAAAAAAAATCAAAAATAATACTCTTAGAAAATAAGGGCGCATTTTCAGAAAGGACCAACCCTAAACACAAGGAAAGGGGATTGTTTTCTTGGGTTGATGACTCTCATTCCAATGATTTTTTTTCTATGAAGATACAATAGATTTTCATCACATATAGAAGTGTGAAGTGAACTAGGTTATTCAACACAAACTGGGATGAAGGAATTCGGCAATTTGTTTTCTAAAACACATAGTGGACAGACTGCAATCAGATAGATTTCCCCTCACCAACACATGGTATAAGTTGCTTGCTTGGCTTTGCTATAGCGCACTCTGAAAATTGGGTTGCCTTCCGACACAAGGTGATCAGTTTGTCAGCAGTTTATTCACGGACGTGCAATCTTATTCAGTGCTGAAACTATAATAACTAAATGATAAGCAACGAACTAAGAATATCCACATAAATGGTAAAATTGTAACGGACGTTGTATTCTCACAGGGACCAGCTAAGGTATGGCGCGATGGGCGGCGAAGTAGGGCGCGTCGGGCGCCCAAGCCAGTGCGTGACGGGGCGCTGAGGGTCTGCTTTCGAGGTGCACTAGAGTGTGTTAGGGGTGCTCAAGTAGGGGCTCGCTAGAGAACACCGGAGGTGAGCTAAGGTAGCTGAAGCAAAAGTAACGAGCTAACTTAACTGTGATACCATGTCGGAAATGAAGATTTACTATATGAGGGCATACATGGTTTTTAAGTACAAAAGCTCTACCCTTTAAATACTAAAACAACATAGCCTACAAGTATGCAATTCTAAGCAGATTGACACCAAAAAGGAAGGAAATGCTGACAGTCCATACTGATTGAGCCCTCAAGTTTCACCTGGCCTGACCGAGTTGAACTTCACCAAAATTTCATGCCAATTTATGCGGTAGACCACACTCAGCTTAATTAGGAGGGTACAGTAGTACACAGCCCCATACTTATGGAAAATATCTACAAGAGAAAAACCTCATTGACGTTGGAGCAAACCGCAGCCTAATCAACCATGCGAATGCTATAGTTGCGACTTTACATATGCTTACATCTAGTGTTGACATAGAAATGTTCGCCACCATACAAATGCTCAAAGTTTAGCGGTTTTATCTGGCAGACGCATACGTAACACTACGTGCAGTCATAATCCATTAAAACGTCGTTTTGCACAGCCAAATATGAACCCGCAAAGTATTCGTTTGTTGGACTTGGAAATAGCTCAAGCCTTGCTGCTAGCATTGCGTAACTTTGCTCGCATTCGCGCATCATCGTCAACTTTTTTGTTTGTGTATGTCCTACCATACACTTGTATCATGCTTGACCTTTTTGCAAATTTCGTGTTATAAGTTGTCAATTCAATGTGTACACGTTAGTCAATAACAAAAAAGTTATTCCATCTATTGATCAAACAGTGGAGCAACGATAAAAAGAAGGCCTAATCAGGCAGGGTCCTCAAGATCGTGAGGTCCTATGCTGGTTCGGTGTTGTGAAGCACCAAATTGACACGGTGTACGATCGAGAGGCGAGGACCTCGGGCCGAGCCTTGTCTTCCAAGTATTGGGGCTGTACGCAAATAGCGTGCCCTAGTAAATAAATCCTTATACAACCCAAAACCCCCTTTAAAAAAGGTGGTTAAAATCCGTAACACACCAATAAGAGAGAAAATATAGGAGTTGTCAAACATTATATGTTTATATGATTGTAGGCAGTAGTGGGTGATACCTTAGGGGGTACACTGGATTAGGGTTTCCTATTTGTATCCATCCTTCTGTTAGTACAGTCATTCCAGTCTGTTATTACGACATGGTTTCAGAGCAGGTCCTTCTCTAGGACCGTTCCTAAGGGCCCACCGTTCGCTACCTAACTACCTACCTACTACCGGAGCGCGTTCTTAGCGCCTCCCCCGTAGCGCCCTCGAGCGCTTCATTATTTTTTATTCGGCCCCGCTGGCCCCGTCGATCGAGCCCCGTCTAGAGGCCCCGCGGCCCCGTCGCATTTGACCTAGAGGCCCCTCACGGCCCCGTCGCGCCGCCCCTTAGCGCCTCGAACGACCCCGCCGCTCGCCCCTTAGCGGCCCCGTCGGCCTTGCGATCGCCCGCTACCGGCCCGCGCACCGCGCACGCAGCCCGCATTTTACCCCCGCGGCCTGCGTGCTGCCCGCTGCCGGCCCCGTCGCACTGCCCGCGCACTGCTCGCACGCCTTTGCGTCGCTAGCGCACAGCCCGCCGCGGCCCCGCCGGCCCGCGATTTGCACCGCTGCAGCTGCCGCCCGCCGGTCCCTCGCCGCTGCTGCCCGTGAGTCGCCCACTGCTGCTCCCGCGTTTCTGCCATGCCCGCAGCCGCCCGTCGCCTGCTCGCGCACGCCCCGCTGCCCGCAGCCGCTTGCACGCCGCTGCTTCCGCTGCTGCTTGTGCATCGCTGCCCCTACGCTGCCGCTGCCCGTGCGCCGCCATTGCCCGTGCGCCACCGTTCCCCGTGCGCCGCTGCCGCCCGTGCGCTTCTGCAGCCACCGCCCGCGAGGCACTCGCTCTCACTGCTGTTTATTTACTACCTACCGCGCACACTGCTACCACTGCAGCTACCACCAGTGCGCCGTTGCAGCTCCTGCTGCCACGCTACCTACTATTGCCGCTCGTGTGCCACTACGGACAGTCGACCCCGCCCGCGCCTTACCTAGCGGCCCCGCCGGCCCCGTTGACCCTCCGCACACCTTTCCAGCGGCCTGATTC